TACAGAGTAATGCATATTAGTGTTTTATGCTACAAGAGTTACAATTGATTACTGCTGCATAGCTTTAAAGGAAACATGCAAGTACCTCATCTCGATTCTCAGGGTTTGGACCAATATCAACTAGACGGAAACTCTTCTCCAACGAGCTAAGCATTATGCCAACAAGCAGAGGACTGCTACCAAATTCTGAAAAACCCTATAAACTCTTGCATGTCACTGGCTTGAAATGCAAATAAAAAGTTGCTAAAAAGGTAATACTACATACATCCATTATATTCCATTCAGAAGGTGTGCTTCTCCACAGGACACGGATCATCTTTGTTCTATCTGTAAGACCTTGTTGCAGCAAAGACTGGACATCCTTCTCAAGTTTTCTCCAAGCCAAATCATCCAAGCAAAAGCTTGATGTAGTAATTTTCAAGTTTCCCTTCAAGTTTATCCTGACAGAAAGCAATATATGTGATAACTTGATCAGCTATTCACTTTGATCTTTATTGATGATTGGAAAGCTATCTAAATTTCACAACTTGCAAACTGATGGAAAACTCTGAATATATGAAATATACTAGTGAAGGGAAACAGCTCAATGAGACTCTGAAGATGTTCAAGTTGGAAAATAAATCCAAAGTAGGGGGCTGATAAGGGGCCTATTGTGACCAAACCCCTGGGGACACTTTTCAATGTAACACTAGTGTTGTCCACCAAATTGACTGAGCATTACGAATAATAATCGTGCTTGCTAAGGAATCATGAGCACGTATGTGGGCTTAACATGTGCTGTTGTTTTCTGATATAAAGGCTCCAGAAAAGTGCAAAGCACAGTATGCATGAAAGTGATGCACCGCATTTGCTTTATTCAACATACCTCAAGCATGAATCGAATTTAGCACCTAAATCAACCTTGGTCATAAAAAGCTCTTCAAATCCACCATCTTTGCATTTATCAAGGCAATTAAGCGCACAAGCTGCCTCATCTTGAAGCTGGAAATATGACACCATTAATCTAAGGCAGAAGCTATCACAGTGCAGCTCAAAATAAATTTGCAAGCTGAAAAACAGGCGTAGAGTGTGCATTGTTGTGAACAAAAAGAGTTAAAAGAGTCAAAAAACTAAAGTAAGTTTCTACTATAGGTTGTGGGTCATATACTACAAGATTTTGTAAGTGAGCATAGATAAATGAGATGAACAATAAAGAAATGGTACCTCTATGAATGCTGACTTCGTCATTCGAGATGCCAAGTTTACATGTCCAGATACATCACAGATGACAACATCAAATGTTTTCAGGAAACAAACCATATCCTGAACAAAATAGGTAACCACAAGGTCATAAAATGGAAAAAGGCTGAACTATTTAATCACACTGCATGCAGAAGTTGAATACAATATTGCATTATGCACTGTGGAACTATATAAGCCATTATCATTACTCAATTCTAGGGCTCCAGACTCCAGAGTACTCCAGACACAGATGCACAGGCCCCCCATGGTGTTATAAATGTATAGCAAGATAAGCGTATGCAAGCAAATGATGCCAATTTTGTCATGATGTTTGCAGTAAGGAAAAGAACAAATGTACAGAAATAGTGGTGGACGCAGGATTTTCAGTGTGTGTATTCAAGATTTACACCGTGGAGGGCGCAAGATTTTTTAAAAAAATATAATCAGGTTATGAAAGAGAAAAGGGAATCAAGGGAATCGAATTCTAGACCTACTGGATGCAACGATCACACGCTAACCAGCTGAGAAACATGAGTGTTTATGCTATACAATGTAGCTACTTTATACTTTATAGAAATACTTCACAGACCTCTTTGGTGATTGTACGCTTCTTAGTTGGCTGAATCACCAAGCCCTTCGTCCACATCTTCGAAGTTGCTACAAGAAAATAGAAGTGATTCAATATAATAACATTGGTAAATGGTTTTAATTCAATAAATTTCTGTTGCTCAGATGTACCCAAGAACTTCATCACAACGCGAAAAATTTGTCTCGATGTCATTGATCTATTAATCATGCTTCCTGCCGAGTCCACAGTAAGGAACACAAGGATGGCAGATATTAAGTATCCATTGAGGCAATCATGTGTATATATTGAAGTTCTCTGACGTGCCCAAACCTACATTTGAAACTAAGTATTAGAATTCCTTCCAGATAAAATAAATAGTATAACAGTCCTACTTATTGAGCATAAAAGTTCCCTTGTCAGATGACTACTAAAAGTGCTTCTGCTCATTTCAAGAAATACCGCTTAACAATAGACAATAAGTGAACACAGTAGAAATAGATTCCAAATGAGTGGACGTTTAAGTTTTTACTATTGATAAGTAAACGAACAAGAATTAAGAATGAACTGCATACTTTTAGCAAAACCAATGCCTCTTGCAAGGCTTTCCAATCTGCAACTGAACTGCTGATAAATTCTACATTTTCCTCCAAGAACATATCCTCCAATATGCTACAATTGTACTTTGGTGTGGGCAGGTTTATGCCATCTGAAATGCAAATCCAGTCAGAATTTTTTTTTTCGGAAAAAAGAAAGTTCCAACATTAGCGATCAAAGCTATATGTGATGGTAATAGTTATATTGATTGAACAATCTTATCAACATCACAGCAATTCGACAATTCTAAAACAGGTATCCATATCTCACCTTTTGTGTATGCACGAACATTGTTTCTTGTTGATAAATTCATCTTTGAAACATTGAACAAAAAGCTTGCAGTTGGTATTATCCTGACATAGAACCCAGGAAGTTCTGCGATTTCTTTTGCTGCAACAGTAAAGTACTGAAAAATGAGAAAGAAAAAGGAAGAGAAGAAACTGTGTGCATGCAGATGCATCAAATTTGATTCTTTGAATGGGTCGAATGGGGAAAAAAAGAAAAGAACAACCTGGGTATACATGAAGGATAGGTTTCCGTGCCTCGTCTAGGAAGGTAGACCATGAAATCTTCTGAATTAATGGAGAAGACCTCAAGCTTTTCTCAATGACATGGAGGTAAAGACACCTCTTTGCATGGTATCTGTGGTTTAGAAAATCTTTTTCATGGAAGCATTCCTGAAGAGAACCATCAGAAAATAAATAATCAAATATCATTCCATGATAAATGATATGTTAAATTTTAGCAATAGGATAAGTATTTCAAACATCCACATACAGTGCACTAAGTTGTAAAGGTGCCAGAAAGTTATGTGTCTGGTACAAAATCAAGAAGCGGGATCATTACCATAGATAGTACAAGACATTTATGTACCTGTAGAATTCCTCTAAAATAAAACATGTGTATCTTAATGTATGGCAGGTTGCACAATGATTTAACTAATGGGAAACAAAGTAAACGAAACTGAGATATAGCCATATAGGGGGCAAACTGCATGTGTTTTATGGAATTTTCGCATTAAGTGGACAGAACTCATAGAACTATATTACATACTGAGCAGTGAGTAGCCTCTGTACTGTCTGTCAATTAATTAACACGAAATACTTCTGAACGAAGAAAACTTTGCGGCATAATGTCATCGCTAACGAACAAGCCATATTATCTCGCAATTTTGAAGGTACGACGCATCTAACAACAGTTGCAGCAGAGAACAAGTAACAACGCCTACGGTTCTCGTCAAAAAGGAAATCCAACCTTTCGTCGATTCACTACAATACTCAACGAGTCCAATCGCACAGCGACTTACTCCATCCATTTCATACCTTAGGCAAGCGCACGAGGAGGTCAGCGGAGACGTCGGGCCTCGCGACGGCGCCGCCGGCCGCGTGGCTCCCAGCGACCCGAACGACCTCCGGCGGCCGGAACGTGAACGCGAGCTTCTCCCCCGCGAGCCCCAGGTCCCTCACGAACCCAGCGACAGCCTCGTGAGTCGCCTGCTGCGTCGGGATCCTCTTGACGAGGCCCGCGACGGCATCCGCGGCCTCGCTCGCGGCGCGGAGTGCGGCGGCGCTCGGCCGCACCTCCTCGAGGAGAGCGGAGAGCTTGTAGACGATGGAGTCATCGGCTGCGGCGGCGATGGCGGCGGCCATGGTTGGATTCGAGGTGGCCGCCGGCGGCGGGAAGGCGAGAGCGTGCGGGGGTTTAGGGTTTAGCTTGAGCTCGGAGGAGGAAGAGGAGAAAAGGGTAAAAAATGGCGTGTGCTTAAACGAATATTTTTTGGGCCGGGCCCAATTTAGGCCCACCTGAATATTTGCATTTCTTGCTTTCTTTGTTATTTTAGCTAGCAAATTTATTTGGGTAGGCAATTTTTTTAATATAAAATCCCTTGGGGATTCAAGCCTCGTTTTTTTTGTTTTTTTTGCACAAGATTTGATTTGTTTTTAGATTATTACTCCCCTTACTGACAAGTGACAAGAAGGGATATAGGCACCAAATTCACCTTAGGTGATTCAACTCCTCTAGTATATAAAATTCTAAATGGTGGATTGAGAATGAGTTGTCCCGTGTCCGGTAGGCATCTCGGCCCCATCGTTTGGCTAGGAGGAGGAAAAATCAAAAACGGCATAGTTAAATGAAAAATAATTTATAAATAAAACTTTTAACAATTTAAAAGCAAAGGTTAAAAAATAAACAATGATGGATAATCTAAAAAATCAACTCCAAATTTAAAATTAAAAATTTAATTTTTTTTAGCTAAGCGAAAAGCATCTCATACGCACTGCGTGGTTAGTTCTTCAAGCCGATGTGGAGAAACAGGCAATAATCACAACAGCACATAGGCCATGTAGAAGAGCATATGGTACTAATTTCATAATCAATACCACGGATTTATAATGATTTGGTTGGACAATGATGCATTTTTCCAAATCAGTTTGGTCATGTTGGGTTCATGTTTGTGTTAATCTATTTAATTTCAATCACCTCATACCAACAATAGCGCCTGTAGCTCAGTGGATAGAGCGTCTGTTTCCTAAGCAGAAGGCCGTAGGTTCGACCCCTACCTGGCGCGAAATTTATATATTTTTCATTTTTTTTCAAATATTTCTTCTCTGTTTCACTCTCTTAGTTTTACTTTACATTTCATACATAAAGTCATAAACACCAGCATATCTACTGCAATATTCCGCACCAATATATGAGGTTCTGGAAATAAAGTCACTGTATTCAACTTGCCTGCATATCTAGCTCATCTCACACGCTAGAGTTGGAAATGATTCTAACTTGCCTGAAACCAACAAAAATTAATTTACTAAAGCAGAATTGCAGAACAAATGGCTTGCTCACTGCATTCCGATTGCCAAAAGGCCCCTGCAAAAAAGAAATTCAAAAGGTTCAAACATCTGACAGGCTGAGAAATTCAAAAGCATAGCACTCTTGGCTGATACAACTGTTTGAGCTGAGAAAAAAAAAGAGAGCGACATGGCTGATACAACTGGCGGTGTAAACATTTTTCCCCCGTGATAATCTGATCAAAAGAAGAATATATAGCAAAATTTTATTAGCATTGTGCTCTTCTACATCATCGTTCTAGGAAAATCGGCCAAGAAAATGAGTGATCAACTGATCAAGCACGGGATGCAGTGACGTACGCTGTCGTCGCCTTAGTTATATCAACTTTTTTTGTCGATGAAACCCTTAATTATATCACTGTCATGTTCGTGGCGTGTAAGCTGCTTTCGATTGTTTTCATTCTTGTTCTTCACTTCCTCGCTGCACGAGTGAACAGAATCTACTTCTAAATTAAATTAGTACTAGTGGATTATATTAAACTGATGTCTCCTCACGTTAGTGATTATTGCTAATTAATCCCTCGAGGTACTATATAATCGGTTCTTCAGTAGCCATGAACTGCACCCCAAACACTTTCTCCAAATTTCTTCATCTTCCAAATTCGACGACTAAAACTTAGCTCTGAAGAATCTCATCACAAACCATGGGTTTCATGGCCATGATGGTGTCATGGCCTGCCATTGCTGCTGCCTTCATCGTGGCGGCATCGCTGTCGTCGCCGGCGGCCATGCGTGCCTCGGCCGCCGCCGCCGCCGGTGGCGGAGGAGGGAATAATCCCACGGCCGGGTTCGCGAAGGTGGACCTCACCGGCGGCGACTTCCAGGTGCAGAGACCGTACGACGTGCCGGAGAGCCGGCGGTTCCGGTACCGTGACGGCGTATGGACGTTCTGGGTGTACGACTCCGACAAGCCCTTCAACACCGCCACCCACACCAACCCTCGCACCGAAGTCAGGCTCAGGGTAATAAATACATCGCTGCAAAATTCGATTTTGCTACATATTTTATCGATAAATTTTCTCTAAGAAATTAATCGATGTAAAATATACTACAATCGTAGTATAATAACTATATTATAACTTGCATATGTAATTACAATATAACTAACCATTTAATTTGCTTTAAAATTCCTATGAGCAAGAAATGAGAAAATCACAAAGCCGCACATGTGAGGGGATTCGGTCCCATTACCTCTACTTCATAGAAATAGTATGTTATCAATAGATCTTTAAAAGTTACATATAAGATATTACAAGTATATTATATTTACACCTGACATTTTTTAAAAAAATTGACGTCAAGTGTATAATTAGTCTCTACATATTGTTGTGAAATTGCTACTCTAGTTAATCGTTGTGATCGTTTGATTTACAACCGATAAGACATAAAAAAGTGTACGAAACAAATGAAAATAATTTATTGGTAAAAGTTTATCCGTATTATTAACGGTTTAAAAGACAAAGTAAAAAAAAAGAATAAGGATGTGTTCTAAAGTCTTTTGCAACTTTCACGTTTAACATGAGCACGCTTCCCAAACTATTAAACGATGTTTTTCTCTTAAAAAAATTGATATAAGTTTTTAAAAAATTAAATAAACCAATTTTTCGAGTTTATAATAATTTAATACCCACGTAATCATACGCGGATAGTTTGTCTCGTTTTATGTACAAACCAAAAGCTAAAGCTAAACGCACATTCCAACTAAGCCTAAGAAGAAAAAAACCTTAAAATTAACTCCAAAATGAAATTTCAAATTTTATAATTCGGTTGTGACCGATAAAACAAGTACCGATTGAGAGCTGAAAATTTCGTTGTTGTAGGGACATGACTATTCATCGGGAGTGTGGCAATTTGAAGGATATGGATACGTGCCATCAGGAACATCAGGGGTATCGGTGATGCAGATCCACAATGAGGAAGGTGCAGAGCATGCGACTATACTAATGTTGCACGTCTACGATGGTGTGTTGCGCTTCTATGATGGTCCGGCCATTGAGAGCAACATCTACAACCGGTGGTTCCGGCTTAATGTGGTACATGATGTTAAAGCATCGACGGTGGCTGTGTACATCGACGGCAAGCAAAAGTTCTCCACCAATGTGATCCCTAGCGAGTCGTATTATTTTAAGTTTGGAGTGTACATGCAGCACCGTGATTGGTCCAATTGCATGGAGTCCCAATGGACCAATGTCACGGTCTACACAAAGTCTTATTAGTTTGCTATATAGGTATCACCGTTGTTGCCATGGTATATATCAACATTAGTTTGTACATGTAATTATGTATCAAGAGAGATGAATAAAGTTTACACCTATCTTGGTTGTCTCACACACAAAGTAATAAAAAAGATTTCAAAACCGTTTCAATCCTAAAACATGATGTGGGAGTTCCTTACAAGTCAATATATCCCAATATAAAAGTGATTCGTAAGTCGTTTTTACCTAGAACTCGAATGATCGGAATGTTTCTATCACTACGACCAACCTCGATAATGCACTCGGTTTCCATACCATGATCCAAACTAAAACTCTTTAGGCGAGGATAGAACTCTCAGATCAAATCTTTCAACACAGAGAACTTAAACCAGGGTTAAAACTTTCAAAAAGAGATATTATATCTTCTTAAAAAAACACGTGAAATCATACATCACTTCTTGTTTCAACTGCTAGCTGGTTGTCTCCACATGTCAGTGTACCAGACGGATTGCCACGTGTCACATCAAGCGACTGTGAGGACGTGTTCGTTGGCTCATCGCAACGTAACCATAACCTATCCACATTCTTTTTTTCTTCTAACGAACCGGCACAAGATGGTGCCAATTTTATTGAATAGAGAATGAGTAAAAGTATTTACACACATAAAACCTAAAACAAACTATACAAGCTTAAGAAAAAAATCTCCGCTAAAGCTTTGCTCTTGTACACACCCAAATTATCCCCTCATCTCTAATCTTTGGTGAGAAGTGATGTTATCAGGAGTTCTTAATCAGTGGCGGGCCCAGGATTTAGAGGTTGGGTATTCGAAATAGGTAGGGGTAAAACAAAATTGTTTTTACTTCTAGAAGTCCAATAATTAATTGGTATAATATTACACATTACTAATTGTATAATATTATAGCATATGGCCATAACTTTATAAATTGATAGAATTGATCATAAGTCCAAATTCTTTAACATATATAAGTACTAATTGTTCGACATATGAAAGTGGCAACATATATAACATGTAAAGGATAGAAAATGGTAAAATGATAAAAAAAACTTACAATTTAGAGGAGAACTTTTCAATGCTTGATATTTTAAAAATGAGTGATGATGTCCTCATCCTTTAACTTGTACAAAAAATTCTCTTCCAATAAATGTAGATTGTTGCTCATCTTGCTTCTTGTTTTTATATAGTTCATCGAAGAAAACACCCTCTCTAAATTCTCTAAATTCCTAACAACAGCTCATATATAGCCTCATACTATCATCATATATATAAATTTAACACACTGAAAATTAAATATTATGGTTCTAAGTTATCTAAATTCCTAATATTTACAGCTTTATACTATCAATCTGTCAATAAATATACACTTAACAGTTAACACTCTGAAAAATAAAGAAGACAGGAACTGAGGAAGTTGAATCCTTCGGTGCTAGTGAACTATTGAACTACTATAGAACAAATCAATGAAACAAGCCGTCGCCACCGGAAAACATAACTACTATTGAACTACCTAGAACAAATCAATGCAATGAATCAATGAATCAAGCCCCTCACGCAATCCATGCCAGGCCGGCGAGCCGTGGTCGTTCGGTTGCCGCATCGCGTACCTGTCAACCTGTGTGGTGGCCTGGTGGACTGGCGGCCTGCACGCCTGGCCGAGCCCCAACGCCGCACGGCCGCAGCCGTCGACGCGCCGCCTGCACGCCTCGGCGCCTCCTGCCGCCGACGCAGCCGCGTACGCCGCAGCCGGAAGCCTCTGCCGCAGCCGCCGACGAGCACGCTGCAGACTAGACTGCAGTCGCCGCCGCCCGACGCGCTGCCTAGGCTCCTACCCACCTTGGCGCCGCCTTCCGCCGACGCAGCAGGAAGTCGCCGCCGCCGCACTGCCGCACGTCCTCGCCGCCACACCGCGCACGTCCTCGGTCCTCTGGTTAGGGTTTGGCCGATTTGGGAATTAGGGCTTTGGTTTGCTGTGCCTAGGCGAGGAGGGGAAATGAACTAGTTGTGGCCCAAACTGATTGTGGGCTGAGATGAAAGGGGAGGGAAGTGGGAAATTTAGGCCCAATAGAGAAGAAACGATGAAACAGGGCCCAAAATGAGTAGTTTTAGCCTTTTTCTTTAATTTCTTGAATACATATACGAGGTATAGAGTACATATACTTATTTTTTTTGTCTAAAAATCTTGGGTATACGTCTGAATACCCTTGAATCAATAGTGGGCCCGCCCCTGTTCTTAATGCTAGGTTTCTTTTTTTTTTTCAAATTTCTCAGGTCATTAGCGATACGAGGGTTCTCATCTCTTGCTTGGGCAGTCCTTTACACGTGGCCAATGCTTCTCACCAGTCATGAATTGTGGTCATTGGCTTCCATGATGTCGGTTTGGGTTGCTCCTATGACGTTTACGTTACAATCATGTTCCATATCCTTATAGTGTATCTGTATTCCGAGGTAGAAAGTTGTCTCCGGGACTTGTATGTAAGTGGATAGTATGTGTCATTTAATCAACCTCTCATTGATAGCCTTTTAGATGTTTAGACTCTTATCTACATGACCAACCAGATGAAGGACTTGCACTTAAGTGGGGCTCAAGCTTTCCAGATCAGCGTATCGAACAAGAACTAATGGATCGCTTTCCAGCCATGGTGATGGTGGCGTCCGCTTGCCACGGCCTCTCCCACCACCCTCTCCTGCGCTCCAGCACCAGCAGCGATCCCATCCTCTCCTCACCTTGGCTCCTCCGGCACCTGCTTCCGCTTCCCGCCGTCGCCGGCCTCCTCTCCTAGTGCGGGTCCGACTACTGAACAGGGTTTAAAAAATCATGCACTTATCGTGGTTATCACGTATGGTAACCTTTTCGGTTTTTGAAACCTCGGTATACCTCGCGGTAACCACACAATCTTTATGGTAACCGCCAAACCATGGGGTGATGGTAACCCCACCCAAAACGGTTTGGTGAACCCTGCTACTAACTCGTCAAATTTGATATTCGAGCTGCTTCTTCTCCTCGCAATTGCCAATTTCCCGGGGTGAAACGCGATGGCCTTGATCTGAAGTTGACGACTTGAGCATTGTGTCGGAACCTGAAACTGTAAGGCTGGCCGGACGCAAGGGAATGCAATCTGTTTTTTTTTTTTTTGGGCGAGGGAATGCAATCTGTTTGATTTATTGGTTGTTTACTTGCAAACACAACTGGATGATTTGATGCCGGGAAATGCTGAGTGGATTTCGATGATAGTTTTGGAAAAGAAAATTTGACAGGATAATGTGGCATGATTATGTGCAGAGCCGAGGCGAGGGTTCAGGCTTTTTTGGGTTTCCTCACTGTTGAAGCCTTTTTCGCTATCAACATTACTGACAAGTTCCCGAGTTCTGGACCTCTAATGGGTCATTGTGATCTGTTCTTGTATCTTTTTTCAAGCAGATTCATCCTTTCTTGTAACGCTGATAACCCATCTTTTTTTTTTGTCTATGTTGCACATTTTTGTTACATGATGTAATAGTATATATGGTTATGTTGTACTCCTGATTGACTAGCTCTTGTTTTACTCCCCTTTTTACACCCTTTTTCGTTTCTTGACCGAAGGAGTATCTCATGACGCAGTGGCCGAAATGTCTATATCAGAGTGTTGACCAGAATGATTTGCTGGTTGTTGGTCCCGGAGTGCTTGGTTATTGTCTTTACGTTTAAATGGGATGAGAACATTTAGGAGAACTTCTGCATTTCTTATGATCAGAGATTTCCTTGGTATGCTGTCTGCATCCTATGATCTTTTACTATCTACGCATATTATTTGCAGGATGCTGCTTCGCTTGCCATTGCCATCATGAGATTGCCTTCATGAGAAAGAGATTTCGTGACCGTGTCTTTGTGGGCTGTGACAATCAGCCCCTCTCCAGGTCACTGCACACTTCATCTTCTTTTGATGTGCATAGTGAGTTCACTAATTCGATGGCCAGCAGCATTGCAGTGCAGGCAAGAAATAATGGATCGGGTTAACAGAAGCAGGAATTTTGACACACAATTTCAAGGCTTCACTGGTCAGCCACTAGTTGCAATTGGCGTGATTTCCTGCACAAACATTTGTCACCACATTACATGGTCAGTGACTCTGTGTATTGATCTTTTTTTTTTTGAACTTCTGTGTATTGATCTTTTGACAACAGGGATTGATGGTCCGTTAGGGAAAAGGATGCAGATATGAACCATTGTCTGAAAAGCCTTCTTTTTCGAGACAGCTTAACAATATTTTCGTTGGTTAAAAATCAATTAATTGTCGAACGATTGCGCTTGCACAGCATCGTCGCTTTGGGCTGAACTGGCATTAAAAAAAGTACTCATCCATGGATCTATTGTTTCACATTACCTCAGCTATCAAGGCACAATTTGCAGACACCATGAACTGTACAGAAGTACAAACGCAAAACCCATGCCAGGACGAAAATAAGGAGGCACTACTTCATCACCAGTTGAGCATCCTCCCCTACACAGTTACAGAAGGAATATAAAAAACACGAAGGAAAGAGCACTAGCAAGAGACGATTTCAGCTTCACCAAAGCCATAGGAGCTGAAATGCTTGACCCTGAATTTCCACTCGCCATTGACGGCATCGAAAGAGATGAACTCAGCACCCTGCTCCTCAGCTTTCTTCACCAGCATCTCCTTGTACTTGTCCACCCTCGGACCCTCTGTGTACTGATCCCCCGTCTTCTTGTTCATGCACTTGATATTGAGAAGGGTCACCACGGCAGCTTTATTCAGACCCTCACCAACAGGGGGCTTCTTGCTATCGTCCTTGTACACGATCACTTCACGGTTATTGAATTCCACAATGGACTCCAGATCAAGGCCCCTCACGTCCGTTTCTCCAATAAACTTGATGCTACCGTAATCATGACGTCCCACAGCAAAATCCCTCACACGACTGCAGTAGCCTGGTTCAGCACGTTCTTTGGCAGCAAGCTCCTCCAGACTAGGCTCTGTATAATAATCGGCATGCACTAGCTTAGGCACAAGCCTCTCAACAGAAGTACCATTCCCATGCCTTGTCACAGTATCAGGCTCATTTGATGCACGGTCATCACGCTGGATGCCATTTTCGATTGAAGTAGACCTGGTTGGTGAAATAGCCAGAGGGCCTGCAAAACATCGTTAAATTAGAAACTGATAATTGCACATTAGGGTTCACGGTAAAACAGTTAAATATGCCATGGTAGGCTGGTAGTCGAGGCAAAATGAACGAAACAAATGATTCTAAATGATGATTTACAATGCTGCAAAAGCTGTCATAGAAGGGAGACAGAATGGGGTATGATATAAATCTTTAATGCTATAAAACTGCATGTCCACAAGGTAGGCTTCAGTACTGCACTAACAAGAATTACCTTTATGTTTATCTGTATCAACTAAATTCTTTGGAATTGGCTGCCTGTCAACAGTGCCACGTGAAGGCCACTGATCAATTGGACGGATTATAAGATTCCTCGGGTTCTCTCTAGGAATGAAAAACGCATCAGCTTTTGGTGTTGCAGGAGATTCTTCGTCATCAGCAAAGAATGGGACCTAAAGGAATAAAAAAGATGATCATCATGTTTAATGTGTTTTTTTCTTAATGCTTGCAGAACACCCCAAACAACAAAAATCATAAAACATATTGTGATACAAACTTGCAAGTATACCTTGCCATCAGATATCGGATTATATTTTCTGGGCAGCACTTTTATCCTTCTCTGCGACAAATGCCTAGGAACCACCATGGATAATGATGTCCTGTTCGTAAGAGGCTTATCAGCAACCTGCAAAAGAGTAGAATGTCTCAATCTGCTATGCACTTTTCTTGTATCTCAATCAGCAGACAAACTTGCTAACAATCCTTCTATAGTAAGCTCAGGTGCTCATGCACTCTACTTTAACAATCAAAATAGTTAAGACAGTAATAATACTAACTGGCAAACTTGAGATTCCATATTGAACAGAAGGGGCTGATCCACCATTCCCAATGGACATCTGAGGCATTGCTGGCAGAGTACCGAAGGGATTTGTAACAAGAGCTGGTTGCATGACCATATTGGACTGGCTAGGAGTTCTGCATTCAATATGAAATAGGAAGTTACAAATTAGAGGATGTTAGCCTGTCATAAGAATGGGTCCCACATAATAGGCTTGCCCAGAACTCATTTGTAAAGGCAACTAAATTGTGATACTTTTCAAAACCCTGTTCTATTAATCTCGGCATTAAATATCAGTATGAACTATCAAACTGTAGTTTAACTTCAACATAGTGCATACTAAGCAAACCAGTGGCCCCACCTAAAATGAAATAGATAAAAAAGGAAATGAACAATTATTTGCATTCAAAAAGTAAATGAAAGATATCATACGGCTGTCCAAAAGGTGCCTGATTCATAGTGTTGGAAATGCCAGGAAATCCACCAGTAGGAGCTGCAGTAACCATGCATGCACAAGCACAAAAGTAAGTTAACCCAATTTTGCTTAACCAAGTAAAAGAATCTGAGATTGATTAGGAGACAAAACACAAACCTGTTTGAGTTTGAGGTTGGAAGGAGAACATGCTTGGAGTAGGGGCAGATTGTTGAAACGCCGTCTGAATCAGAAGGAGCAAAGTCAATGTTGTTAGCAGTGATACTTTTAACAAGTAAATATAAGGAGTACATGAGAAGAGAATAAGATAGATCATAGATGTATCAGTGTTATAAGGAAAATCAATCCAACCTAAATATGAAAATAGCTAGAAGACGGATGCTTACTGATGAAAAGGGTGAAGACATGCTGCCAAACAGTCCACCAGTCATTCCAGGGGTAGGTGTGCTGAATAGGCTTCCAGTAGAGAAAGCTGGAGTGCTCAATCCGAACCCTGATGATGCCTGGGTAAATGGCTGTTGCGCAAACGCCGGGGAAGAACTAAATAGCCCAGCTGATTGAGTGTTAACCAAGGACAAGCCAGTACTGAATGAACTGGGGTTTGATAATGATGCGCCAAACGGAGAAGAAGAAGCAAAACCAGGAGTAGAATTTGCAAACAGAGAACTGCTTGTTTGTGTAAATAATGGGATACTTGTAGTTGATGCAAATGGACTTGAGCTTGCTGCTGATGTATTATTGAATGGTGAATTGAACAATGTTGTGGAAGTAGAACCGAAACCAGTGGAAGGCTTGGCAGCAAATGGATTGCTAACGGATGTCGTTTGGAATGCATTTGAAGTTTGGAATGCATTTGAAGGGTTCTGGGGAAATTGATTGTTCAGTGGGGATGGGAAGCTAGGGGTTGCTGCTGGAGTTCCTGAAGGATTAGGTCCACCTGAAGGTTCAAAAATCAAGAGTTACTCAAAAGTGATAAAGAAAAAAGGCACATGGAACCAAGCATATAATAATGCAGAATGAGCTACAGGAGCATAAAGGACCTTGTTTTATCACTAGATTTTATCATTCTAATCAACAAAAAACACTTACACTGTAGCAGAAGCTAGTACATGATAATTACTTCGTTTCTTTTAAACATGCAAATACAATTAACTATAATGGTTCAAGAGATTGTTAGTAAATGAAGCAATCAACTCACTCCCAAAAATGCCTCACCTTTGTCTCCACGTTGGTAATCCTCCCACCTCAACTCTTCATGACTCTTCGCTTTGTATGCCTCCATGGCTGATATAGAATCCAACTTTGCAGTGGGCTGAGCACCACTTGTAGCACTATCCGCGTCTGGAGTTTGAGTATAGGGTTGAATTCTGGTTCCTCCTGCTTGGTTCCCAAATGATGTTTGCCCAAATGTCGGTGCTGCTGTCTGTGAGCCTGAAACTCCCCCCAAAAAGACACATTCAAGATGGAATGGATGAAACATGCGATTGCCATGATAAAAAAAAGGGACTAAGCTATCAGCGGGAAAGAAGGGAAAGAAAAGGTTCACAGATGCAAGACATAGAGTCATAACAAAAGAACCTGACATAAAGCAGTTATAGAATGTCAGGGGAAGACTATTAACATGGTGTGTCACAACTAAGCAACCCAACTTGTGAAACATAACTGAGTGAGAAACAAAATGAAAACTTACCAAATGGAGAAGTCTGTGCACCAAAAGGAGATGTAGATGTTCCAAAAGGAGTGCTACCAAATGTAGATGCTGTTTGACCAAAAGATGGTGAAGAGCCAAAGCTAAAAGCACTCGTTGATGTGCCAAATGAAGCTGAGCTTGAAGCTCCAAATCCTGGAGTGCTACTTGCACCGAAGGCTGGGGTACCTGAAGATCCAAAGCCACTAGAACCAAATGCTGGGGCACTGGTAGCACCGAATAATGATGGCGATGTTGAACCAAATGCTGGGGTGGTGGTGCCAAATGCTGGTGTAGTTGTGGCACCAAAGGCCGGCGTGCTTGATGCACCAAAAGTGCTGCTACCAAATGCTGGTTGTGTTTGCTGGAATGTGCCTCCAAAAGCATTGGATTGGCTAGGAGAGGAACCAAAACCACCAAAGCTTGGCTTTTGTCCAAATAATGATGATCCTGCAAATTTGCGGATTGTTGTGTCACATGTCATACAAAATGATAGCTCTGAAGAGCAATTAAAACAACAACATTGTGGGCTGCCACTAGCCCACTATTCAGGAAAATTCAATTGAGCATCTGTATAACAAATGTAGAAATCATAACACGCCATGATTCAATGTTCTGGTATATAACCATGGTTAATCGAAATACTCAGTGGAGCTTACTACTAAGAGAGAACCTACAAGATACTCATGTCAGCCTTTGTACTTTCATTAAGCAAGTTTACCATTCTTAACTATGATGCAGCAGGCACACACATATCAAGTCTAGTGCTATTTTATGCTTTCACAAAAAGGGAGTGGATGGTATGTGACAATTTAAGGCAAATGAACTAGTACTCTCAGGATTCTCACTTTTTTTTCTCGCTAGTTTTGATTCAAAGAAACACTGTCATGTCATCTATCACGAACTTCAAACAACCAAAAAAAACTGAAAATAGTCAATATAGATTGCAAATTCAGCTTCAAACTATTGTCCTAGATACACAATTGGAGGTTGCACTCGACAGTATATACCAACTCTATTCTAGACTTTTCAGCAAACATAGGCAACCAGCAGCGGCAGTAAAAAATCAAATCAAATAAGAACATATTTTCTAGCATTGCATTTTTTCTGCATAAACAATCGTGGGAGAATCAATTTATAGAAACAGGATTCAATAATCGCACGTAACAGAAAAGGAAATGCCCATCAAGCTAGAAACTACTCCCTCCGTTTCATATTATAAGACTTTCTAGCATTGCCCACATGAAAGTCTTATAATATGAAACGGAGGAAGTACTGTATATTGAATAGAGCCAGGACAGCTTTACAGACAGTTTTACTATGCTACGAATGAAATGCTGAGAAAATATGTGCAACCAGTGGATGTCCGATAAAAGTGAACAGTGCTTAGTTCTAAGTTGAAGAAAATGATAATGTGGAAAGAAAATGAATGCCAGAAGTACAAACCGCTGCCAAAGGTGGACGATGTGGCGCCAAATGCAGGGGCTGGTGATGCACCAAAAGCTGGCGCAGAGCTCCCAAATGGAGAGGATGATGGAGTGCCAAACGCCGGAGTGGATGGCTGGCCGAAGGCCCCAGCGGACGTCGCGCCAAACGCCGGGGTGGATGGCTGGCCAAAGGCACCTGTGGACGTGGAGCCAAACGCTGGAGTGGACGGCTGGCCAAAGGCCCCCGTGGACGTCGTGCCAAAAGGTGAGCCTCCTGTCTGTGCCCCAAACGTGGTGGTCGGGCTGCCAAATGGTTTCGGCGCGAACGGATTGGAGGTGGAGGTGCTGGCCTGGCCAAATCCTGTCTGGGCCCCAAAAGGGTTGCTTGAGGTCTGGCCGAAAGGGCTAGTGGACGACTGCCCAAATGCTGCGAGGAACAAACATATCATATCACATTAATCATATATCAATATGCTATCTATATAGCAGATGTCCATATACACTTGTAGCATTGCAAGAATGAAAACAATTAGCACGCGACACATCGCGGGATATCGATTCGCCGAAAACATGATCCACAATGCCATTAACAGTGGAACAAGACATCCCGTGCCATCAACACTACGATTCGGCATGCGGCGCGGATCATCGTAGAGATCTGTGGAGCAGTATTAGCAGAAATAACAACGCCGATACTAACATGAGGCGCGGAGCAGTGAGGAGCGAGAAAACCCTAGCTAGGGCACGGCCGAACAAGTGGTGGATGCGGCGGGGGGAGAGAATCCGGGGTGAGGGAGGCGCTTACGGTTGCTGGAGCCGAACATGGCTGCTTGCTCGGGGACGAGGCCCGCGGCGGCGGCGGCGGCGGCGGCGGCCTCTTGGTCCCCCTCTTCTCCTCCCCCTCCCCTCCTGAGTGGGGTGGAGGTGGAATCGCCGGTGGGTTGTGGGTTGCTGCGGACGATTAGGATCTAGGAGGGAGAGCGGCGAGCGGGGCGGCGACTTGCGGCGGCGGCGGCGGCGGCGCGGAGAGGTTGATGGGGGTAGCGAGAGGGAGGAGACGGGAGAGGAGGGCGGAGGGTGACGAAGCGAGGAGGAAGGAAGAGGTAGGACGGAAGAGGAGGGGCAGGAATGTCAATTTACTTGCCCTTTCCGTTTTTAATAAAAATAATAAAATACCGGAGTAGAAATAAAGAAAGAAATGGGAGTATCTATGCATCTTTCGAAAGATTTCTATGATTATATCACACAGATTTTTAATCTTTGAATTAAAATCTAATAGACACAGGTAAAAGACAAAAGAACAACTAAGAAATACCATAATGGACACCAATTACCATATCTTCAAGCAAAAACCAAATCTAATATAAATTTCAAAACTTACATGCGAAGATTCAAAATTACACTATAACTTCAAAAGTTACAATGTAAGTTTCATAAATTACATTGTAAATTAAAAGAAAATACACTATAAATTTAAGTGAGAAAATCGAGTGAGATATAAGAAAAAAAATCTTTCGAGTGAGATATAGCAAAATCGGAAAGAAATAGAGTTTTTAGCGGACGAAAAATTCCTAATTCCTTAACATGTTTGGTAGAACTCCAACTCCTAAATTTAAGGTCTGTTTGGCACAACTTTAGTTCCAGCTCCATTTTTTCTGGAGCTAAAGTCTAGTTAAACAGTTTCAGCTCCACCTAAAATGTGAGCGGAGCTGGGTTGAGCACTCTCACAAAATGAACTAGAGAGATGGAGCTGGGTTTAGGCAGCTCCACAACTCCACTCCAAACTCAACTCCTGGAGCTAAATGGAGCTGGAGCTGGAGCTGTGCCAAACATGTCCTAACACAAAGTATTTTGTGAGAATGCTTTACTCCATTACCATTTTAGTGGAGCCAAAAATATTTGGTTGAGGTTCAACTCCAAGATAGGTGGAGCTAGAACTGTAGCTGTGCCAAAGATGCCCACTCTTATCCCAACAAGTCCTATGGATGTTATGAAAGAAAGAGAATATATATATATATATATTTTTTTACAAACTATGAATGGGTTTGTGATGCTATTTAAGGGTATGTTCAGTACTCTCTTTTTTTTTTTACTTATACTCCCTTATTTTATATGCAAACACTTTTCGAACTGCTATACGATATTTTTTTAAAAAAAAGATTTATATAGTTAAGTTGTTTTAAAAACCATATTAATTTTATTTTAGGTGCCTTTTAGTATAATTGATTTGTTTATGTTATGTGCACTTGTAGTAGAATTAATTTGTTCACCTTTTTATATTTGTGGTCATGTCCACTTTTTTATAAGAGTGAATAAAATTATTTTTCACTTGTCATTAACTTGATGACCGACACACTCTACAATAGTACAATATACCCTGAAAAATATAAATTACTTAACAATGCATCGTTTGTTAGTTTAAAAGAGATTAAAAAAAATTAAAAGCCTTGTGGATAAGAGTATTTCTTGATAAATTATCATTCCTCAAAATAATTTTACCAAAACTTTCATAGCACGGAAAATAATTTTAATCAACAAAACTGCATTTCAATATTTTAATAAAATGTGAACTAAATTCCTTTTCACATCAAGTGGACGGAACCTAGCCCATTCCTTTATTTCCCCGACAATGTGGCTTCAACTCGGCTTCAAGTACTGTAAGCATTTGCATGGGTTCGTTTGAACCACAAGATTTTGTCTTGTTGAACCCTATATGAAATGAAATGAATCCACATGAATGTGTAACAACAAATTGTTCGGTAACTCTGAAGAATAATCACAGGAACTTCAAGACATAAGGTGAAACATAAGGCTCTAACTTATGTTAGTTTTCCTCTAAAGTTCCAACCAAAAGAATCAATTCCATTGGAATTTCCTTGTGGGGGGTTGAGAACAAATCTTTTGCTCATGGAAAATGGAGCGATCTATTAGCATGTGATTAATTAAATACTTCCTATGTCCCAGAATATAAGGGATTTTGAAGGGATGTGATATATCCTAGTACTATAAATCTGGACATGCTCACTGTCCAGATTCGTAGTACTACGATATGTCACATCCCTCCAAATCCCTTATATTATAGGATTTGTAGTACTAAGATATGTCACATCCCTCCAAATCCCTTATATTATGAGACGGAGGGAGTATTAGCTATTTTTTTTTCAGAAATAGATCAACATGATTTTTTAAGCAACTTTCGTATATGAACTTTTTGCAAAAAAAAAAAAAAACACACCATTTAACTAATTTTTTTTTTCAAAATGGATCAATATGATTTTTTTAAGGAACTTTCGTATGAAAAAAAAAACACACGAGGGATTAGCAACGAACACAGGGTTTTTGTGAAAGCCAATCCATTGGCCCAAACCTCTGGATTTCCTCTTTTTATTTTTACTCATGATAGGACTCTTAGTCTTAGAGCACGAAATTTAAGGGAAAAGTTATGGCCATTACTGAGAATGCTTTGATACTAAAAGATATTTCACTTGTTCATTGGAATGTAATCATTGTTTAAAAAACGCACGTATGGATCTGTTTCTACCATTAACTAAGACTTGCACAATTTTCAGACACCATGAATCAGAAATAGAGATGATACTCATGGCAGGATGAAAACAGCTACCCCAAAAGATTAGAGCAAAAACATGTAACAAGGAGGCACTATTTACTACACTATATAATCACCAATTCAGTTCAGCATCCTCCTCTACAGAACCAGTTACAGATAGGAAACACAAAAAAACAAAAAAAAAAGAAGAAAAAGAACACTAGCAAGAGTCGATCTCAGCTTCACCAAAGCCATAGGAGCTGAAATGCTTGACCCTGAATTTCCACTCGCCCTTGGCAGCATCGAATGAGATGAACTCAGCACCCTGCTCCTCAGCCTTCTTCACCAGTATCTCCTTGTACTTGCCCACCCTCGGACCCTCTGTGTACTGCTCCCCCGTCTTCTTGTTCATGCACTTGATATTGAGAAGGGTCACCACGGCAGCTTTATTCAGACCCTCACCAACAGGGGGCTTCTTGCTATCGTCCTTGTACACGATCACTTCACGGTTATTGAATTCCACAATGGACTCCAGATCAAGGCCCCTCACGTTGGTTTCTCCAATAAACTTGATGCTACCGTAATCATGACGTCCCACAGCAAAATCCCTCACACGACTGCAGTAGCCTGGTTCAGCACGTTCTTTGGCAGCAAGCTCCTCCAGACTAGGCTCTGTGTAATAATCGGCATGCACTAGCTTAGGCGCAAGCCTCTCAACAGAAGTACCATTCCCATGCCTTGTCACAGTATCAGGCTCATTTGATGCACGGTCATCACGGTGGATGCCATTTTCGATTGAAGTAGACCTGGTTGGTGAAATGGCAGTCTTGTTGAACTCCCTCTCAGCCAAAGAGCCTGCAAAACATCCTCAAATTAACATCCGATAATTGCACATTTAGGTGCAAAATGAAGAGACAAATATAGTAGTTTTAACAATGATTTACAATGCCGCACATGCTGCCTTTGCTGCACATCTCATGGAAGAGAGGCACAAGGGGATGCTAAAATCTTTAACACTACAAAACTGCATGTATGTGAAGTAGTAGAACTTAAGTAGAAAGAATTACCTTCATGTTCATCAATATCAGCTGAATTCTTTGGAATTTGTTGCCTGTCCATTGTGCCACGTGAAGGCCACTGATCAATTGGTCGGATTACCAGATTTCTTGGGTTCTCTCTAGGGATGAAAAAAGCATCAGCTTTTGGTGTTGCAGGAGATTCTTCATCATCAGCAAAGAATGGAACCTAAAGAACAAGAAAGATGAGCATCATGTCAAATGTTTTCTTAATGCTTGCAGAACATTCCAACAAAAAATCATAAAACAACTTGACATACAAAAAGCTTGCAAGTCTTTACCTTGCCATCAGATATCGGATTATATTTTCTTGGCAGCAATTTTATCCTTCTCTGTGACAAATGCCTAGGAACCACCATGGATAATGACGCCCTGCTCGTATGAGGCTTCTCAGCAACCTGCAAGACAGCAGAATGAATCAATCAAACATGCAAACTTTTCTGTCCTTTCTGAAATTCTCAGAAGAGCAACTTGCCAGCAGACAATCTAAACCATCTAATAGGACAATCAAGATAGTTAAGGCAGTAATAACACTGACCGGCAAACTTGAGATTCCATATTGAACAGAAGGGGCTGATCCACCATTCCCAATGGACATCTGAGGAGTCGCTGGCAGCATCCCGAATGGATTTTTAACAAGAGCTGGTTGCATGACCATATTGGACTGGCTAGGGGTTCTGCATTTAATATGAAACAGGAAATTGCAACTTAAATGAGGACATATTAATCTGTCATTAAAAAAAACTCCCAATGCTTGCCAAAGTTCATTTGAGGGTAACTGAATTGTGATACTTCTCAAAACACTGTTCTGTTAATCGCTACATCACATATCAGTATAAACGATCACATTGTTGTTCATATTCAACTTACCAAAGCAAATCAGTTGCTCTGCCTATCTACAAGAAATATATATAACGGAAAAGAACATTTTTTTGCATTTGAGAAGTAGATGGAAGAGATCATACGGCTGTCCAAAAGGTGCCTGATTTGTATTGGAAACGCCAGGAAATCCACCAGTAGAAGCTGCAGTAACCATGTATGTACATGAACAAAAGTAAGTTAACTCGACTTTGCTCTCCAAGTAGAAGAACTGGAGATCGATTAGGACACAAAACACTAACCTGTTTGAGCTGGAGGTTGGAACAAAATGCTGGGCATTTGAGCAGGGACAGGTTGTTGCAATGTCGGCTTAATCATAAAGGGGCAGAGTCAATTTGTTAACAGTGATACTTTTACAAAGGAAAGATAAGTAGTACAAAGATAAATGTATCAGAGTTATAAAGAAAATCACTCTGGCCAAAATATCAAAATAGCTAGAAAAAGAAGCTTACCGTTGAGGGTGAAGGCCCGCTGCCAAACAATCCACCAGTCGCCACAGGAGTAGGTGGGCTGAATAGGCTCCCAGAAAAAGATGGGAAGCTCGATGTGAACCCTGATGATGCCTGGCTGGGCTGTTGCACAATTGATGGGGAAGGACCAAATAGCCCAACTGATTGACTGTTAGTCCCAGACGTACTGAATGAGTTTTGGTTTATTGTGCCAAATAGAGAAGGACTAGAAGCGGAATTTACAAACTGAGAACAGTTTGTTTGTGTAGGAAATGGGTTACTTATAGTTGGTGCAAATGGGCTTGAGCTTGCTGGTGCTGTATTACTGGATATTGAATTGAACACGGATGAAATAGAACCAAAACCAGTTGAAGGCTGCTTGGGAGCAAATGGATTGTTCGCAGATGCTGATGGAAATGCATTTGGAGGGTTTGGGGAAAATTGGTTGTTGACTGGAGATGGGAAGCTAGGGGTCACTGCTGGAGTTCCTGAAGGATTTGGTCCACCTGAGGGTTAAAAAATAATGAATTACTCAAAAATTGTACAGAAAGAAGGCATATGGAACTAAACATATAATAATGCAGAATGAACTACAGAAGCATAAAAGGCTAGCTCTATCAGTATAATTTGCCATTTTAAATTTGTAATCAACCAAAAGTGCTTGAACTACGCCACCGCAGCAACTAATACATAAAAGTAACTTCGTTTATTTTTTTAAAGAAAAAACATGATAAAGAGTTCATGCAAAAGCAATTAAATGTGATGGTTAAAGAGATTGTTTACAAACGAAGTGCAAAACACACAATCCCAAAAAAAGACTCACCTTTGTCTCCACGCTGGTAATCTTGCCACCTCAGCTCTTCATGACTCTTCGCTTTGTATGCCTCCATGGCTGATATTGAGTTCAATTTTGCAGCAGGCTGAGTACCACTTGTAGCACTGTCCGCATCTGGTGTTTGAGTATAAGGCTGTATTCTGGTTCCTCCAGCTTGATTCCCAAATGATGTTTGCCCAAATGCTGGTGCTGTTGTCTGTGATCCTGAAACTCAAAGAAAACATTCAAGATAAGGCATCAGGGGATAGAAGTAGAGACAAAAAAGGATTGCAGAGGTGAGGCATCAGGGGATAACAAAAGAATCTAACACCAAGAAGTATAGCATGTGGAGGGGAAGACAATAAGATCATGGACAAAAACTTACCAAATGTAGATGTCTGTGAGCCAAAAGTAGATGAAGTTGTTCCAAAGGGAGTGCTACCGAATGTAGGTATTGTTTGACCAAAAGATGGAGAAGAGCCAAAGTTAAAAGCACTAGTTGACATGCCAGAGCTTGAAGCTCCGAATCCTGGAGTACTACCTGCACCAAAGGCTGTAGTACCTGAAGATCCAAAACCAGGAGTGGTGGATGAACCAAAGCCTGTAGAACCAAATGCTGGGGCACTTGAAGCACCGAATACAGATGTAGATGTTGAACCAAATGCTGGGGTGGTCGTGCCGAATGCTGGTGTAGTTGTGGCACCAAAGGATGGTGTAGTTGTGGTGCCAAAGGTCGGCGTGCTTGCCGCGCCAAAAGTGCTGCCACCAAATGCTGGTTGTGCTTGCTGGAATGGACCTCCAAAAGCACTAGACTGGCTAGGAGAAGAACCAAAACCGCCAAAGCTTGGCTTTTGTCCAAACAATGATGATCCTGCAAATTTGGTGGTTATCATGTCACACGTACTACAAAATGATAAATCAAAAAGATCAATTCATAACTCAAGATGATGAAACAACATCGCTCATTATTGAGAAACTGAGTATCTCTATAACAAATGTAGAAAACATCACATATCATATTTCAAGTTTCTCCTATAAGCATGTTTGATCAAAATACTCACAGTGGAACTTACTGCTATGGGAGAACTTACAAGATATACATATGTTAGCCTTTTTACTTTCCTTAAGCAAGTTTGAAAGATTATGATGAGGCAAGCACACTTATGTAGTACTTAGATGAGGCAAGATTGCCATTTTAAATTTTATTATAAAATATTGCTAGACTGTAATACATATGTGTGCTTGCCTCATCACAGTGGATAGTTAAGTTGCCAATTTAAGGAGAATTGACATTTTCATCCTCAGGCTCTCTCACCTTTTACTCCCGCATTTTGGTACTTAGTGGTCAAGCAAATATTACCTTATCTTTCACAAAATTCAAGCCCCGAAATTCTTCTACAGAACTAGTCATATAGAGATCACAAACTTGGTTGCAAACTGTTTGTCCTGGATAGCACAATCAATAAAGTTGCACTAGACAGTCTAGGCAGATTCTGTTGTAGAATTTCTCAGCAAAGTTGGACAACCAGCACTGCCAGCCCAACAAGAGAACCAAATAAAAAACATATTTTCTAGCATTGTTTCTTTTGTGAATAAACAAGCGCGAGAGCATCAGTTTATAAAATCGGGATTGCATAACTGTAGGTACCAGAAAAGGAAATGTCCAACGAGCTAAGGATCTACAATATACTGAATATATTTGAGAGCCAGAACGGCTTTATAGCCAGAGTTACTATGATAGCAATGAAATATTGAACAAATATGCACGACTAGTGCATATCCAGTAAAAGTGCATAGTATACATGGTTCTAAGTTGAATAAAATAACATACGGAAGAGAATGAATGCCGGAAGTACAAACCGCTGCCAAAGGTAGACGATGTGGCACCAAACACTGGGGCTGGTGATGCACCAAAAGCTGGTGTAGAGCTCCCAAATGGAGAGGATGACGGAGTGCCAAACGCCTGAGTGGATGGCTGGCCAAAGGCTCCGGTGGACGTTGAGCCAAACGCCGGAGCGGATGGCTGGCCAAAGGCTCCGGTGGACATTGAGCCAAACGCCGGAGCGGATGGCTGGCCAAAGGCTCCGGTAGACGTCGAGCCAAACGTCGGAGCAGATGGCTGGCCAAAGGCTCCGGTGGACGTCGTGCCAAAAGGTGAATTTCCTGTCTGTGCCCCGAATGCGGTGATCGGGCTGCCAAAGGGTTTCGGCGCAAAAGGATTGGTGGTGGTAGTGTTCGCCTGGCCAAATCCGCCTGTCTGTGCCCCGAATGGGTTGCTTGAGGTCTGCCCAAAAGGGCTAGTCGACGACTGCCCAAATGCTGCAAGGGACGAACAAATCATCACATCAGATGGTGATATAAACTTGTTGCATTGCAAAAACTAAATAGATTAGCATGTTATGCATCGCGCGCAATTAATTCGCTGAAAAGTTCATTGACGATGCATCAACAGTGGAAGATTATTATCCCGTGTTTTGAACATTGAACAATACGATAAGGCGGGGAGCACCCGTAGAAATCACCAAGTAGTAGTAGCAACAGTGGAAATTATCAAAACCAAAATACTAACAGGAGACGGGAAAACCCTATCTCGCTAGGGCACAATCGGACCAAGTGGCGGATGCGGCGGGCGGGAGAACCAGAGAAGAGGAGAGGAGGCGGCGGGGGGGCGCTTACGGTTGCTCGAGCCGAACATGGCTGCTTCCTTGGCAATGAGGGCCGCGGCTGCGGCTGCTGCGGCGGCGACTTCTTAGTCCTCCTCCTCCTCCTCCTGCTCCTCCTCCCCCTCCCCTCCTCTGCGTCGGCGGAATCGCCGGCGGGTAGGGTGGCTCAATGCCGGCGATTAGGATCTGAAGAGGACCGCGCGGCGTGCGGTGGGAGGTCGGCGGCGACTTCCCGCGGCGGGGAGCGGGGGATTCGGCGGCGGTGGCGACGGCGACTCGGCGGGGATGGGAAGGAAACCGGCGAGAGGAGGCGGAGGGAAGCGGAGGCAGAGAGGGGGAAGAAGAGAAGGTATATATACCGACGCTGATCTATTCCGCGTCGCGTGGCTTCAACGCTCAACGTCGAGGGCTTTTGCCTCTTCTGCTTCCGCGCCTGCGTGGAATTTCCGCCAACTTCTTTGGGCCCAAATCGAATTCCATCTACTTCTTCGGCCGGCTCGCGTGGAATTTACGCCGACTTGTTGGGCCCGCTTGGAATTTCCGCCAACATAATACGGCCCATTACAAAATGTGCTACTCATATGGCCCGTTTTTAGCAAGGGCAACTTCGTCGGGGGCTTTTAACTATTTGCCACTCTTACGAATGGTGCTTAACGATTTGCCACTAGACCCACATATCATAGACACATGAGGGCTCACATGTCATTGACAGAGCGTGGCAAATCGTTAATTGTCATGTCACAAGAGTGGCAAATAGTTAAATTTCCCACTTCGTGGTGTAGATTGTATAGCCCCTACGACCGAAACTGCAAAGAGTATGTACAATGGGTCTGTTCGGCTGTTCTATCTGCGGCAGCGCTGCGGCTGCAACCTTGTGTTGTGCGGCTGCAGCTCGCTGCCGTGTGGTTGCAAAAAAGGGCAGCCGATCAGGCCCAATGGTTAACCCCACAGCGTACTCTCGTTCACGGCGTCCATCAACTGCCCCGAGCAATGCCCCTGGAGGAGGAGGCGCGAGTAGCGCCCCCCATCCTACACTCCCTTTTCCTGAGATCCCCATCTCCCCTACCTCCTCCCTCCATATTTTTCCCTTCTTGCCCCTTCTACCTCGGACGCCGACGGACGGGGTGGTGGAGGAGCCGACGTGGTGAGGTGGTGGAGGGGCGAGGCAATGGACGGATCCACCACGGCGAGGTGGTGGAGGAGCCGTCAACGGTCCCGGCGAAGATGGATCCGTGACGGCGACGACCCGGAGACGACGCGGCCGACTAGATCTGGCCACCGCACCACGCGCACACTCGTCGTGCGGAGGGAGAGAGAGGAAAGATGGCCTCCTCTGCGTCCTCGCAAAGCGCGTCCTGGCACTCAGTGCACCGCAGCCGGGACGCCGCCGAGGCGAACCATCTCGGCATGGCGCAACAGGTGGGGAGGTTGGCGGTGGCGGTGGGGCAGGGCCACCTGCCGGCGTGGTGGACAGCGATGAGCGGTGGGAGAGAGGCGGTGACGGGTGGGAGGAGAGAGAAGAACGGGAGGAGGGGCGAGCGATGATGGGTGGAGGGCCGGAGACTTGCACGGAGATAGGCGGGTGGAGGAGATGAGAAGATGGATGCGTCTCGCACTCTCGTGAGGAAAAAGAGAAGAGGATGGGAAGAAGCGATTGGTGGCTGGTGGGTGGGCTGACAGTATAAATGAGAGAGAGAAGAGGCTAGGGATAGGGAGGAAAATAATACATGTGGCTAGATGGGTTGGGGCACCCCATTGTGGGCTAGAGTACCTCCACCCGGTTGCTTGAGATTCGAAGAACCCAGCTACGAGTATATCCCATTGGGAGATGGGTGTCTCATTGTAACGCCCCGATTTTCGTTCGGGATTAAAAATCATTAAATAATGCATTTTCTAGAAATTAAATAAAAGTTAAATCAATTTAATCAAGTAAAATAATGGGAGAATTTGAAATTTTCCCTTAAAAATCATTGGCCGGGAATATTTTGCAATATTCTTTGTGCCCTAAAATACTCTCCGGATTTTTCCGTGAATTTTCGGAGTTCAAGAAATAATTTTTTTAAAGTCACAAAGTTCATTAAACTAATTTAAATAAAAAGAAAATAATCTTCCCCTTCCTCCCTTTCGGGCTCGGCCCAAAATCCTCTCTCCTTCCCCTCCCGCGGCCCGGCTTGCCTCCCCTTTTGGCGCAAGTCTGTTTTTCCTCCCTCCCGGCCTCCCCTCTCACTCAGGCCGACAGGTGGGACCCGTGGGCCCCACCTGTCATCCCCAACCTCCAGCCCGGGCCGGCAACTGCCATGGCCGCCGAAAACCGCCCACGTCGCCACCATTCCCGGCCTCCTCGAGCCCTCTCTCGCGTGGGACCGGGAGCCATCCCTCTCCTCCACCTCCTCCCCCGTTTTTCCCCAATTTTTGGCGCCGAATCGAGCCCCACTTCGCCCACGATGTCACCCACGTCGCCGGCCGTTGCCGCTTCAAATCTGCCACGTCCGGCCACGATTTCTCCTCCCCGAGCCTATAAAAATGGTCCCCGTGCCATCCTCCCCCTTTTCCCCAATTTTCCCGAACCCGCTGCACTCCCAACCGCTCTCCCCTCGTTGCTCCCGCGCTCTGCCGCTTTCCGGCGAGCTCCGGCTGCACGCCGCCGTCGCTGTAGCCGCCGCCGCGCCGCACCGCTTGCACCGTCGGCTCCGCCGCTCTTTGCCGCACACCGGCCACCGCTCCGTTTCCACAAAACTCCGCCGAAACACCACCTCCACCGTGCACCCGAGCCACAGCTGCCTCTCGTCACCTCCAGTCGCGCGCCACCACCGCTCCCGTCGCTGCCGCGCTGCGCTACCACCGCCATCGGCATCGCCGTTCCTCGCCGCACCCCGGCCCCTACTCCGTTTCCCCTCCCTGCCCCTGGAACGCCGCCGCCGCGTTCACCATCTCTCTCCGCCGCCACCGCCGAGTACAGCCGCGTCGCGCCGCCTCTCCGGTCGACGCCGACTTGTGCCGCCACCTCCTCCGGCTTCGTCATCTCGAGGGCCCCGCCGGCCCTCGGCCGCGTCTCCGCCATGGTCGGGTGTCGCCGGAACGCCGTTCCCGCCGCCTCTCGTGCCAGTCGCCGCCATCCTTTCCGCCGCCAGCCGCCTCCCTGTGGTCGTCTCGCCGTCGCCGTCCTCGGTGAGAATCCCCACCGTCCCTTCTCCTTTTTTTTCCCTCCTCCGCCGCTCCCCGTGCCCGCTGCCGCGACGCGCCGCTGTCGCCGGCGGTCGTCTGGCCGCACGCCGCCGCGCGCTATCGCTCGACCAGGCCGGCTGTGCCGTGCCCGTGCCCCAGCCGCGCCGCCTCGTGGCCGTCCGATTCGGCTTTGGGCCAATCCGGGCCGTCGGTTCCCGTGGACCGGCGGTGGACCGCCTCGGTGGTCCTGGTCCACGGTGGACCGGCTCCCTTGTGCCGCTGACCGGTGGGCCCGCTTGCCGGCGCCACCTCTTCCCCGTCGGATGACGTCATAATTGATTTAAATTGCGCAATAAATCGGTAATAATTCTAGAAATTCATTAAAATGGCTCAAAACCTTCTAAAATTCATATCTAATTCATTCGAACTCCGAATTGAGCCATTCAACTTGCAAAATTCATCTAAAATTAAGCTCTACATGTTTGTTTACTTTTTATGTACTGTTTCCTTGGTTTTTATTAGGGTTTTTCCTCGTTTTGCGTGCCAGCGTGTAGTTTCCGTCGTTTCGGAAGTCCGCGGTCGCGAGGAAAAGAGTTCGGAAAATCCAAGTGAAGAAGCAAGGCAAGTCACACATTCTCCTTGAGCATGTTGATCCCAATTTATAAATGTTTTACCGTTTACAAATAAATATGCATGTTTTGCTAATTACACGAGGTCAGGGTTTACCTATCTGCTCGCTTGTGCCATGTTTACTTGATATCTGTTCTTTGTCAACCTTGGGTAATAAATTGACTAGCTCGTGTTACTTATGTGACCTAGCTAGAACTATATGCTTAGCCATGCTTAATTACCACTAGCTCAGTCGATGGGATAATTGCAGTATTAGACATTCTAGTATCTTGTTGAGCTGCGTGCTCGAGACATCTGGCCATGTTTCATGGTTGTAATTACCCAACTAAAATGCGACTGAATGGTGGGCTGTGGGTGCATGGTTTTGTGAGTCGCACCCATGGCAATTAAGGACCGGTTCACGGGAAACCCTGGAAGACTTACAGCGCTTGCCACAAGCGGGAGTGGGTAACTGCTTGATCTGAAGTATAGCTCGACCCTTTCCTAGGCACCGGTGGCGAGGGTGGGCGTGATGGAGTTGGGTCGGCCGGGGTGTCTGGTTGTCCAGCTGCCGGATTCACTGCGGCGCAAGAGGGGACCGCCCACTGCCTTTTGAGGGGTGGGGGTGAAACCTTAGCGTGGTGTGGATGGTTAGGGGAGGGTTATGCGAAGGGTCTCGTCACAATCACTCGACATGGTGACGTGTGCATCATGGGCACATGATGACGCGGTGACATGTCGGTGGGTTGTGTCTTGTGGGTACAGTTGTGCACCTCTGGCCAGAGTAAAACTATTCGAATAGCCGTGCCCGCGGTTATGGGCGATCGACCAGATTCACCGTGATTAGTCTCACACTTAATAAATCGACCCAATGCACTGTAGTACAGGTGGGTTGGTTGGGCCTGTTCAACGTGGTGTAGCGTTGATCAGTGGAGATTTTAATGTTACTTTAATTACTCAACAGTTTTACTGTTTTGCTCAATAAAATGTTTTACAACCGCCTTTATGCAAATAGCCACAAACCGTCCTTGTGTTCCCCTTGCACGTCTGCATCGTTGGTGTGGCTTGCTGAGTACGGTGGTTGTACTCAGCCTTGCTATTATTCCCCCTTTTCAGAAGTGTAGTGCTTCTGAGCTGAAGATGGAGTTAGAGGACCAAGGCTCAGACCCCAGTTGAGTTTTGCCTGTGGAGTGGAGCTGAAGCCCCGCTAGGATTGCCTTTTTCCGCTGCTGCTGCTTTTGTTTCGGTGTGAGGACTAAGTGCCTCTTCTGTAAGTATTTTACGCTTTATTTACGTTTGGAACTGTGTATTACTTGTCGTTTTGTGTACCCTGGCTGGTCCTGGACAGGGATTTAATACACAAAATAGTCTGGAAATTTGGGCTAAATTTCTGGGCGTGACACTCATGCAGTGGCTTCAGTTAGTGAGGACAATCTTGGCGTGGCTTACATTGTACATGCCCTGATAGGTGAACAGTCGCGCGCTCATCCTCCCTCGCGGCGCGGCCACGTGGCACACGCGGAGAGGGCGGCTGCGCGCGGAACCGCACGTGGCGCCGGTTTTTTCCGGCTTTTTGTTTTCTTCGGTTATTTCTGCTTTTCTTCCGGCTTTTTTTGGCTTTTTCGGTTTTTAATATATATATATATATATATATATATATATATATATATATATATATATACACATGTATACAAATGTTGTATACGTAGGTACGCATATTTTTTATACATAAAAATTTATACATGTGTATTGTATATATACGTATATATATATTTTATATACATTCGTATAAACTTTATATATACAAAATTTATGCGTATGTATATAAAGTGTGTGTGTGTGTGTGTGTGTGTGTGTGTGTGTGTGTGTGTGTGTGTGTGTATATATATATATATATATATATACACGTATAAACCCCTCTCCCCCCCCCCGACGTGCTGCAGGAGCATCGCTGCCGCTATGACACCGGCGTCAGCGTACAGACCAACAAGCCCTTCAACACCATCACCCCCACCAACCCTAGGAGGCTAGGACCAAAGTCCGCCTCACCGTAAGAAACACAACATTCTACTCCCTCCATTTCATATTATAGACATTTTGATTTTTGGCAAAATTTACCACGAGATATCCAAAAACGTGTAATTAGCTGGGGACACCGCAAGAATTCGTTTCTGCTATAGGACACTATAAAAAGCTGGTAATTAGTTACTGGACACTCACGTTTCTAGAGGAATTGGAGAGAGAAATATTGATTAAAGACAAGTTTCCCATGACTCAACTCATTGCAATCTACTGTTCCCTATTTCGGATGGGCCTCTCATGGTGGAAGAGGCGGCGGAGCGGCGACTTGCCGTGAAGGGAGCAGATGTCGCGCGCGGTGCACGTGTTGCGGTCTAGTCAATAGAAGTTTCAATAAAGAAAACAAGATAGCATGGGACCCGCGTGTCATCATCCGATCCCTTCTCCTCCCCCTCCTATCCACGCAGGCATATTAACAAACACATAGTGGGCATTAGCAAAGTTGTGGCACTTTTGCACAAAACCTGCATAGTACCTCACCGTCGGCGCTTCAATAGGTACATGCTGGCTTTCGTGATCTCGTACTCCAGCCACGCCAAGTTCTCCCTCCCGGTTTGCCGCCCTCGCTCGCGCAGCCGCGCACGTAGAAGCAATTGTCCGGGGTCAGCGTTTGTCCAGCTATGTCTTGGGGCCCATGCTCGCGTCCCTGGCGATGGTCTGCTCATGTGCCGGCGGCTACGCCTCCGCGGCACAAAGTAGAATGCTTTGTCGCGTCTCTTCCTCGAAGCTGGTCGCGCCGGAGAGAGATAGATTGAAGCGGGAGCTGGTGAGGAGACGGTCAGAGGAGCTGAGAAACCCCATGGCAATGTGCGGAGTGCAAGGGATCATCACATGCATCAACTATAGAGCAATGCTTACCAAATAAAACATGCGGTGTATTAACAGATTAACAAGAACCTCCTAGCCGCCGCTGCAACCCTTCCAAGTTGTCGTCGCTAGGGATAGCAGTTTGACCCATTTACCGAAGGGTAAAAACCCTAATAGAGTTGGGTTTGTTCTCCATTTAATACCCATGGGTTTTTTATTAGTCAAAACCTGTACCCATCAGACAAACGGGCACGGGCATAGGTAGTGACTTTCCATGCTCGCTTCACCCGTTTACCCATGAAAACTAACTGACATGTGAGCCCTCAGTCATCTTAGTGTAAAATCCACCTCTTCATCACCATCTAGGGTTTCTTTCCTCTTCTCCCTTTCCTTCACAGCCACCACGAGCCACGGCAGGGGCACCACGCAAGACCACGAGTCCACGATGTGCAAAGGGTGAGGTAGGGCGCGCTTCATCCCCAAACTGCCGATCGACCGCCGCCTGGCTCTACCCCCGACGGCTCGTCGGCTTGTTGCTCGCCTGCCTCCGGTTGCTGCTGTCGACTTCCTCTAGCCGACGACTGCCATACCTCCGGTCACCACCCGCGTGCCTGCTACCTCCGATTGCCGCTAACCCTCCAGCCATCGACTTCCTCTAACAAGGTATTCCCCCCTTGTCCCTCCGGACTTTGATCCATTATTCTGATTTGATTGGTAGTGATTTGAACCAATGGCAACTCCGGGCAGCAACAACCATCATGCTACTCTAGCCAGCAGTAACCATCGTGACCAAGCCTCACAGGCTTCTATTGTTGAAGTTGTATGATTGATGAATTCATAATGCTTGTACTATTTAACTTGTACAGATGTTTTTCTTTCAACTGTGACACCGGCTCACTACTTGTGGTTGAAACTGGTGGGTAAACGGACATGCCCATCGGCACACGGCGCCCGCGAGCGACGTGCATGGGCATTGTTCCTTGCCTGTCATATAGTAATGGGCATTGCTCGCGGGCAAGAATTACCTCGCAGGCACATGCATGGGTAGTCACTACCAGTGCCCATCGTGCTCGATTGCCATCCCTAGTCGTCACTGGTTCCTCCATAAGTGAGAAAGAGTGAGGGAGGGGGACCTAGGAGGAAGAAGATGGAGTCAGCCAAACCTTTTTATTTTTATAATTCACACTAGAATGCCACGTGTGCTAACCAATGCCAAAACCGTTCAAAATAGTACTCGAGGGGGTTATTTGTCCTGTGTAAAATATTGAGGGTGTTAAATGTTTGGTATTACAGTTTAGGGGTGCCATTCAAACTATGGCAATAGTTTAGGAGGGTAATTTTTACTTTTTTCCAAACTTAAATGGGCCAAAATCTACTCCACCTCTAACCATCTCCCTCTTGTTTGATGGTGGTAGATAACAACAATGCTTTCATTTCCAAAAAAACAAAAAAAAAGGATTCATGTTATCGAACAAAACCTATTTGCCTAAACTTGTCATGGCACAACCATAATCTTGAACCCTCCTTTAAACCCCACCAAACATAGCTTACCAACTTAAAGAAAAACATATTTGAGAACGTAGTCTAACACTGCTACAAACGTCGATATCTAGAGCAACAACAATGATAGTGACACAACCATACAAAGTGGCAGTGGACTTAAAGAGTGATAGCCTCTTGCAAGCTTGATGTCACATCCTATCTTACTATAAAATTATTCTCCACTAACTTCTTAAACTTAACATGCAAAGATGCCACATCATCATCCACTAACAAGATGCCACATCATCATCCACTAATTAACAAGATGCCACATCATCATCCATTAACAATCATCGCATTTAAACATCATGCAAACATGCTATATCTTTATAGTTTTTCTAATTTAAGAGCTTTTCAAATATAAACATGTTAAATTATCATCCAACATAATTCATATAATGTTTCAATGCGTATCTTTATTATGTTTTATGATATTCTATGGTCCAAATTATCTTTCTCCTTTTTTCCTCTAATTAAGTCATATCACTTCAATTGTTTTTAGCCTTTAGATAATTAATCTACGGTCCAAACTATATCCCTACTTTTCTTCTTCCATAAAGTCATACCACCTTTATTTTTTACGTTTGAATCATCATTCTACATACTATTTAAATTTATATTATTATAAACCACATTAATTTACTTAATCTGATGTTATCTAGCTATCTTACACGTTATTTTTTTATTGTTATCATACTAAATTCCTACATCAATGCGCGGGGTTTCACCTAGTATATGAAAAAATAGCACCCAAGTCCCACTATATCAAGTCCAAACCTATCCTCATAAATTCATTGAGCCTAGCTGTAAGGCTCTTGCATTTATTGTCTAATATACAACTGTTTTCTTCATCAAACGTAACCATTTCAATATGTATTCAATCGTTATATACCATTATAATGAGATCCACCACAATTAACGTGTATATTATTTTTCCTGTTTTCACCTAGTCTTAAAGAGTTTATAGCTTGAAAAGATTTATAGGCTTTTAAAAGAGTTGAGAGGTGAAAAAAAATCTTTCTAAAACACAACACATATATGCGGATAGAAAACAGGAAGAACAAGCTAAGCAAATCATAATAATCAGAACATTTTCTATAATCATCCTTTGAAATAGAGTTAATTAACAGTTTTTTTAAAAAAAACTGAACCACTCCATTTTCTACAAAATCTCTGTGGAAATATTGCATTCCAAAGAGCTCTTGATCATAATAACCAAACAAACAATTCCCAAGGCCCCCACCCAACTCCTAACCAACCAATGAACACATTACCAGGTCCACCACTCCCTTAGCGGGTCCTGAAGCTCCCTTATCGGATCCAAACCATCACCCAATCCGCACTCCAGTCCGAATTCCGATTCCCCAATCCCACCTCCACCCCCACTTGCGCTTCGCTTGCGCCAATCCAAATCGCCGCCTCGCACCAATCCATCCCCGGCATGGCCGCGCCCCAACCGGAGGTGGTGGGGCTGACGACGACGACGAGGGCGACGGCGGCGTAGCGCGGTCGGTCGCTGTCGCTGCGGCGGAATTCCGGAGGAGGGGGGGCTCTGCCTTATCGGATCGTGGGGGGTAAGACCCGGTTCCGGCGATCGCCGGGATGGACACCGACGGGCGCCTCCGCCGCGCGCTGGCGGCGTTCGGGGGCGGGGCCGACGTGTGGGACCTCGTCGATGCCGCCCTCGCCTCGGCGGCGCGCGACCGCCCCGCAGAGCTCCGCGCGCGCCGCGACGGCATCGTGGAGCGCCTCTACGCCACCGCCGCCGGCGGCCGCTGCGGGAACTGCGACGCGCCGAGATCGGCCGAGCCCGAGGCGGCGGCGGCGGCGGCGGCTTCCCCGGCTTCGCCCGATGAGGATGCCGACGTGGACGGCCTCGACGACGACGAGGGCGGCGGCATGGAGAGCAAGATCCTGGCGATCAGGGACTTCTTGGAGGACCCCGACCAGGTCCCTTCAAAGATCCCCATCTTTACCCGGTTTGGCAGTGTAGGAGTACGATTTTGCTACTACTGCTAGCTCACTTCTTCTGTTACAAACTGTACTTCTGTATGGTTTCGTCACAGTCGGAGGACGAGCTGGTCAGCTTGCTGCAGAGCCTCGCAGACATGGACATCACCTACAAGGCTCTCCAGGTCAAGAACACCACACCTTTCTGTGGTCCATTTTCCTTTCCCCGATTCGCTTTTTCTTCGGCTTTGCACAAGATGAGATTGGTGGTTGCTTGTTGGAGCAGCTGAGCTAAGAGAGTGAAAAGCTTGTGTTTCTGATCTTGTGCAGGAGACGGACATCGGCCGCCATGTCAACGGCCTGCGCAAGCACCCGTCCGGCGAGGTCCGGCAGCTTGTGAAGCTGCTCGTCAGGTGATAAACAAGCGAACTTTTGCTGACACGTCTATGTCTTGTGCATCCAGTAGTGATTTAGTTGTGTTTCTGGTGTTCAATTGTTTGGTTCTCGTGCTCCTCTGAAGGAAATGGAAGGAGATAGTGGATGACTGGGTGCGGCTGCACAACTCCGGTGGCGACGGCGGTAGCTCGGTTCTAAGTACGGCATTGTGTTTTGTTTCAGAGTTTTCTAGATTTGTTTTTGTTTTAGATGATAATTTTGATTGATGTCGTTTGTTTCGTGGTCGCAGCTGATGGTGACTCTCCTGATAAAATCCAAGGCAGGAGCTACCAAAATGCTCAGGTAACTTGCTCTTCAACAATCCAATGCTGACAAGCACTGTGGCTCTTGCTTAGTAATTCCCCACAATTAAATTCATCACACTACCTTTAGTTTTTCATTTTTAATTCTGGTGGAGAAAGGTTTGGTTTTGGTAGGCACTATCGTGCGAGGAATATTTCCTAGCCCAGTTCATCCAACTGTTTGTTTAACTGACATACCACATTCCGTTACATGATAACCATTCTTTGCTCAAGTCTTACAAAAGAGAGGATGAGAAGTGCTAACTAAAACATGAATTTATTCATGAACACCTCTGTTATTATTATGCCGTTGCAGGTTTCAGACTTCAAGTATTCTCCCAGCCCACAGAGACATAGTGAGTTCCCACACCTACTCTTTTTAGCTTATAGGCGCAATGTTCTTATCTTTGAAGACCTCATGCTGTACTAATGGAATTTTTGTTTGGACACTAGATGGTTTGAGTTCAGAGAGATCTAGCAATAATAATGGCGTCGAATCAATGATTGAGAAGCGCAGAACAAGCCCAGCACCTACATATCATAACAACAAACAGAACAACAGCATCGGCTATTCTACTACTTCCTCCTCTGCTCCAGTTGTAAGGCTAATCATATCGTCCTCTTATTTTGTTAAACCCATTAGTTATTAATAGTACAGAGAATATGCTCTTGATTTTGTTTAGAATATATTAAGAAAGGTTCCCACGAACAAAAAGTTAGAGCAACTTCCATCATCATGGACCCCAGATGTGGGCATCTTTTGACTAAAGATGCCTTGCTAGGCACCACTTATTGCACATTGATCTTATCATACAAAATAGTGAAAAAGTTACCCATGTTCCACTTGCCATGAGAAAAGATGTTAGGGTACACATGAATATAAATCTTCTCTGCTTATCTCTTGCAAAACAGTGCCTACATTTTGACTTGTATTCATAAATACTCTTTGCAGAGGACTGTAAGGGAGCAGAAAGATAATCTTATGGATCTTGAGAAGCTTGATTCTGCCAGAAAGAGACTCCAGGAAAACTACCAGGAAGCACAAAATGGTAACGATTTCATGACATATTGTTTCATGTTTTTACTACAATGTGCCATGGACATAGAGGCATGTATAGAAGGATTGATTGCTCATTGCATGTAATTAATTTCATAAAAATGGCATATTAAAGTAATAGACTGGTTTCCATGTATCTAACATTTTTTTCCTCATCTTATTTTTGCAGCAAAAAAGCAGAGGACAATTCAAGTGATGGATATCCACGACATACCAAAGCCGAAAAATAGAAACGCCTTCATCCGCAAGGGCGGAGGCGGCCTCCCTGGAAAGCACCGGTGATTATCCTGCAGACCTACAATTGTAATTTCAAAAAGGCCGAAACGAGAATAAAAGAAGAAGAATGAAGGCTTGATATTTGTTTTCTGGGTATTGTACTATCGTTTTTACATTGCCTATTTGGTACCCTAACGTAGCCTCACATCTTCCAGTTCACTGTAATATTGTCCAGTTAGTACATGAGGCTATGCGTCTGGGTTCCCTTACCAAGAAGAGGAGAGCAAAGTTTATAGACTTACAGTGCTCGTTTCTATTGTAATTTCTTCTTCATTTTGAATGTAGCTTGTTTACAATGTTGCTGCCGTTTTTCGATTAATAGGTAGGTATTGTATGTACTCATCAATTTGACTGTATATTTGTTCGTTACAAATTAAAGTGATATTAATATATAACACAATGGTATCACATGGACGAATTTAGGAAAGAACATTTGGAGCTTTTAGAACCGATGATAAAATGTAGTAGAAAACTGTCAACCATGAGCGTTGATTCTTTTCGAGACAAAAAACAACATGCACGTTTGTCAGATCGTGCTCTCCTCTTCCCCATTTTGAACAGATTTAGCAGCAATCATGTAGTCAAAACGGCTTATTGCTGCAGCAGTGGGTTTGGCCGAAGAACACGGGAGATATCGTGCTGCTGCTCTTCATGGGCAGCATGTCCTTGCCATCATCAGATAAACATTGTGCCCATCCCTCTAGGCTAACTCAGAATTCCAGCCAAAATTTGGGGATATAGCCAACAAAACTCTAGGCTGGGTTGATTTTCATTATAAAAGAAAACATGGCTGGTGAGCTGACCTAACCATTGAAACCATGAAAGTTTTCGAAAAGCTGATTGCCACAAGGCCAAATAACTTTTTGTAATGTAGATCCTGAAATGAATTCCATCAACGAAAAAGTGGATTTCATCTCTACTACCGTCTCCTCCTCAATCCTTGTCTTCTTTCATATTGTGTGCTTAACTTATCCGGAGCTTTAGAGCCTGTTTGAGGGAGCTTCTAGCAGCTGCAGCTTCTACTAGAATTTTCAGTTGCCAGAAGCTCCCCTAAACAGTCTAGATTTTTACCCAGATTCTGAGAATATGTAGTTGTAGAATCTGGAAAATGAACTAGAAGCCAGAAGCTACAGCTTCTCTAGATTCTCGCTAGCTATCTTCTCAGCAGCTGCTTCTCAATCCACTCTTAGATTATTTTTAACTGTACGGGTCTAACCCGTCATAAAGAACGAAAATATTACTATAGTTCTCACGTTTTTCAACGCTTAGCCTGTTTTCACTTGGATAAAAACATTCTCCGATTTTCACTCGAAATTCGGGGAGGTGAGGGACACCTGTGTGCCTCTCATTCCCATCCAAGCTAAATCAGAACACCGACGACCAATTCAAACCGCGCGCGCACGTACCCGCCTCAACTCGCGGCTACCCACCCCCCACACACCCCCCACCTTCTCTCTCCCGCCACCACCTCTCCCTCCCCCGCTCGCCGTAGCGAACCCCCCCGCCATTGACGTCGCCATGCCGCTGCGCCGACGAGACTCCGACAGCCGGAGCAGCCACCACGCGCCGCACAAGTCCAGCAGCTTCTCCCAGCCCAGCGCCCGCGACGACAAGCCTCGTGACGCCATCGACCGCAACCTCTCCCTCGGCTCCGCCGGCCACCACCACCACCACGACGGCAGGCGGCTCGACCTGCACCACCCGCCTCCCGCCGGCGACGCCATCAAGGAGGAGTACGAGGAGGAGGAGCGTGGTGGCGCCGGTGCTCCCTGCGGTGGCGGCGACGGTGGCGGTGGTGACGGTGGGGGCGGTGGGGATGGTGGTGGTGGGGACGGCGGCGTGCCTGACCTCGCCGCGCTGTCCGTGGAGATCGACGCGTTCGTCGCGGCGGGGCAGGACGGCGGCGAGGCGCTGAGCGACGCCACGCTGGAGAGGTTCGCCGCCGCCGTCGAGATGGAGATCGCGCAGTCGGAGTCGGCGGTGGACAAGTGGGCGACGGGCGCCAACGGCGAGCCGCGGGCGCTGCTCGCCGCGATCTCCCGCATCGCGGCGCTCGCGGCGGCGCTGGCCAAGGCCCCCGAGGGGAAGCACGCCACCGCCGGGGCGCACCGTGTCACCGCCGTGCTGCACCGCGCCATGGCGTTCCTCGAGGACGAGTTCCTCGCTCTGCTCGACGACCCGCGCGTCCCCAAGGCAACGACGTTCGACCAGGTGCAGCACGAGGTCGACCGGTGCGTCCTCCCCGCGTCGGTGGACGTCGGGGCCGGAGTCGGGGAGTCCGCGCCGCCGTACCCGCCTGAGACGGTCGACCGGCTCCGGTCCATGGCCGACGCCATGGTCACCGCCGGGTACGTGACGGAGTGCACCCAGATGTTCCTGGTGGCTCGCCGGAACGCGTCCGACGCGTCGCTGCGCGCGCTCGGGTACGAGAAGGCGAGCATCGACGACGTAGTGAAGATGACGTGGGAGGCGCTGGAGGCGGAGATCGCGACGTGGACCAAGGCGTTCCGGCACACCATCAACGTCGGCCTCTCCACCGAGCACGACCTCTGCGCCCGCGTGTTCGCCGGCCGCCACGCCGCCGTCGGGCGGGGCATGTTCGCCGACCTCGCCCGCTGCGTCATGCTCCACATGCTCAACTTCACGGAGGCGGTGACCATGACGAAGCGCGCCGCGGAGAAGCTCTTCAAGGTGCTCGACATGTACGAGGCCACCCGCGACGCGTCCCCGGTCATCGACGCCTTCCTCACCGCCGACGACGGCAACAACAGCACCGCCCTGACCGACCTCAAGCACGAGCTCAACTCCGTCCGCTCCCGCCTCGGCGAGTTCGCCGCCGCCATCTTCCGCGAGCTCGAGAGCTCCATCCGCGCCGACGCCGGCAAGCAGCCCGTCCCGGGCGGCGCCGTGCACCCGCTCACCCGCTACGTCATGAACTACCTCAAGTACGCGTGCGAGTACAACAGCACGCTGGAGCAGGTGTTCCGGGAGCACGGCGCCCATGGCGGCGGCGGCGGCGGCGACGGCGAGAACCCGTTCGCGGCGCAGCTGATGGAGGTGATGGAGCTCCTCCACGGCAACCTGGAAGGGAAATCGCGGCTCTACAAGGACCCATCACTGAGCAACATCTTCCTGATGAACAATGGGAGGTACATGCTGCAGAAGATCAGGGGCTCGCCGGAGACGAACGCCATGCTCGGCGAGGCGTGGGCGAGGAAGCAGTCGACCAACCTGAGGCAGTACCACAAGAACTACCAGCGGGAGACGTGGAGCCGCGTGCTCGGCCTGCTCCGCGACGACGGCGTGCTGACGGTGAAGGGGTCGGTGCAGAAGCCGGTGCTCAAGGAGAGGTTCAAGCAATTCAACGCAGCCATGGACGAGATCCAGAGGACGCAGGGCGCGTGGGTGGTGAGCGACGAGCAGCTGCAGTCGGAGCTCAGGGTGTCCATCGCCGCCGTCGTCGTGCCGGCGTACCGCTCCTTCCTCGGCCGCTTCGCGCAGACGTTCAGCGCCGGGAGGCAGTCGGAGAAGTACGTCAAGCTCAGCGCCGACGACGTCGAGGCCATCATCGACGAGCTCTTCGACGGCAACGCCACCTCCATGACTAGGAGGCGGACATAGCAACACAACTAAATCGCCGCCGCGAGCGCAACCGCAGATGGATCAGAATGCGCGGGAAGAAGAAGGAGGAGGATTAATTTGAGCTGATTATAATTTCTTGGTTTAAGCCATGTGTTAATTATTTTGTTTTTTTCTTCTTATGTTCTTTTCTTCTTCTTTTTTTCTGGTTAAGAATGTTAATTCGATCGGTCGAACAGGTGATGTACTACTAATTGTTACTGGATTATCTCAGGGCAGATAGGTTTATGTATCCATTATTAATCCATGTACTTAATTTTACCCGATGAAATTGAGCTTTTTTTCTTTGTTGTTAGTTAATCACTTTTGACAATCAGATGTAAGTTGACTACATAATGAAATGTGCATTATCTTTAGAAAAATCACTTTGACAACCGAAAAGCAGCTTCATCTGGATCAATTGGGGAAATTACAAGGAAATTAAATTCAGAATAATTTTTGGTGATATTTCAGGCCATAGTTTCAGTCTACAATTTTGGTGTACACCTTGACATCTCTCCACCGCGACTCCATATAGTGGGAGGGGTCCCTCTGCACGTACACCACGAACTTGAAGTAATGCCTGTAGCCGCCGTGTCCGGGGACGGCGAGCCTCCGCTCGCCGTCGACGAACACGGCAAGCTTCCCCACGCCGGCGACATCGTGGACCACGTTGAGCCTGAACCACCTGTCGTAGATGTCGCCGTCGACGACCCGGGCCTCGTCGTGGTAGTACATCAGCCGGCCGCCGTAGACGTGCAGCATCAGCGTCGTGTTGCGCCCCGACGCGCCGAACACCTGCAGGACTCGAATTGCCACACCCCAGAAGTGTACGTCTTCTGCTCCAAACAAAAAGGATACATATCAAATTATCACAGAAAATTCAAGAAATCAAAGATGACGAAATTCACAGCATTGGAAATTTAAGATTGATTCCTTTTTTTTAAAAAAAAAGACTGAAGAGTAGCATGTTTAAAAAAACAGAAATAAGTTTAAGAACCTATTTTGGAATATTTTGAAATTTGGTAAGAAATGAAAGACGATCTGAAAGTCACAACATTGCGAAATTAGATTGAAGAGTAGTACTATGTTAAAAAAAATTAAAACAAAACATATTTTTGAAAAATGGTGTGATTACGTTTAGGAGTATTTCGGAGCGTGGCTTGGTGGTGCTGCCGGGGCTGAAGGGGCGGTCGGAGCAGAGCACCCACATCCGCCGCACGCCGTCGCGGAACTCGTACCGCTGCTCCGGCGGCAGGTCGTACGGCTTATGCAGCTTGAACATGTCCCCGGTGAGCTCGACGGCGGCGAAGCCGGCGGTCGGGTCCACGTCAGCGCCGGAGCTCCCGTCGCACGGCGGCAAGGGCAAGAGGATGATGATGAGCCATGGTAACCAGCAACACTTGGCCATTTTTATCCTACGCTCGCTGGTTCTCTGCAGAGTTTGAGGACTTCAGGTTCAGGATATTGTCATCGATGAGGCAGTAACTCTCTCTGTAGTGGGATTTTATGGGTGTTCCATTCTGAACAAGTCCTTGATTGATTAGATTAAGCTAATTAATGGTGGTGTTAGGATAACATTGGGTGATGATAGCGTGATTGGGTTGGTTAAAAAAGTAGGACAGGCCTGCAGAAATCTGTGCTGGCTCGTTTGTCAGTTCAGGTGTGGTACCCCTAATGGGCGATTGATCGCCGTGGGGATGGGGTAGCGATCAGATTCGCTTCCCACCTCCCCCTCCCCCTCCACCTGGTTTTCTTTTTTGGCACCGCATTACTTTCCTATTTTAGTAAATTTATACACCTAAAGTTTATACACCTAAAGTTTAGATACCAAAAGTTTATAAGTCAAAAGTTTATTTATGTATCCGATTCAAATTTGAATTTGAATTCAAATATTTTTTTTATATATAGTATTTATGTACATCTAAAGTTTATAGACCTAAAGTTTATAAGTCAAAAGTTTATATACCCGTTTCAAATTTGAATTTGAATTCAAATATCCGATTTAAATTTGAATTTGAATTGAAATATTTTTCATATATAGTATTTCTATACATCTAAAGTTTATAGACCTAAAGTTTATATACCCGATTCAAATTTGAATTTGAATTATATCTGATTCAAATTTGAATTTAAATTCAAATATTTTCTATATATAGTATTTATATACATCTAAAATTTATTGACCCAAAGTTTATAAGTCAAAAGTTTACATACTCGATTCAAATTTGAATTTGAATTCAAATTTTTTATATATAGTATTTCTATACATAAATTTTTCTAACTTTTGTTTTTCAAAAAATTTTGTGTGATCACTGTAATAGAAAGAGGAGAAGGAGAGGAGGAAGAGAGAATAGGGAGGAGTACATCTAGTAGTATAGGGGAGAGGGTGGGCGGGTGATCACTGGGTGGGTGGGGGAGCGATCACCCGCCCATTAGCCTTTCCGGTTCAGGTGAGCCTGCAAAGCTTTTGTTTGCAAACTATTGTCCGTGATGCTGATGCATTCATGTAACGTGCTTCAGGTTTTCATGTTTTGATCTTCAGGTTCAGAGTTCAGACAATGCCAATCCTTTGGTCAGCATCTAGCAAGCAATGTACTTCCTCCGTGGAGAAATATAAGACGTATTAGCCTTTTATTGATCACAACACACCTTCATAAGATATTATCAACACATAAAATTAACATGGTATCACCTGTGTGACAATATATATCGTTAACTTAACTATTATTCAAAAATACATATGTGTAGGAGGGGAAAGGTGAGGGCTTAATCAGTATACAACTTGAACGCCCACATAGAACAAAAAAAAATCTGATGAACACTTCAACACTTTGCTCTGTTTCTACTTTCTACCAGTTAGGACAGGACAGGACAGGTTCTCTTTAAGCATGTTCAAGCTTGACGATTAGTGTTAGCTAGTACTAGGAACAACCTCAACGCTTTTGATGACAAACGGCCCAAAGCAACAGGAGCATCTCTTCCAAACCCAATTCCCAAAGAAATGAATACGTGCAACCAAAGTTTCTCCACCGTCTGATTATCTGTCCATCATTAGCTGGTTTAATCAGTTTTCAGTTTTTTTCACACACAGATTGCTTGATTAGATGCAGAAAGAAGCGAGGTTTATTAAACTTGGCGCCAATTTAGCAATTAACAGAAAAACCAACCACGCATATGGCAGCAGCAGCAGCAACTCTCGCCACGGAAAATGCTAGTAGTATACTAGGCCATGGACCTGGACCTCGCCGTGCAAGTCTCCCGCCGGCCAGTCTCCGGCGAGGACTTCGCCTTCGCCACCTCCGACACCGACGCCGCCTTCCTCGTCCTCGCCCACCTCCCCGGTAGTAACCCATGCTCCGCCGCCGCCGTTGAATTGACATTGGTGTGAGATTTTTGTGTTTTTGTGTGTGTGTGCAGGGTATGACAAGGAGGAGGTGGAGGTGGTCGTCGGCGATGGCGGGAGGGAGGTGGGCGTGGTCGTCGGCGCGAGGAAGGATGACGCGTTCGCGGTGGAGGCGGCGGTGGTCGGGAGGCGCCTCCGGGTGGCGCACCGGCAGGTGGTGGAGGGGTTCTGCAGGGTGTTCGACGTGCCGCCAGGCGTCGAGGTGGGGCGGATCACCGTCGGGTTCGAGGAGGACGACGAGTTGCTCGTCGTCATCATGCCGAAATTCCGGCCGGCGCCGGCGGTGAGCGGCGGCGATGAGGGGCGGCGGCTCGACGTCGAGAGCGCGGACTCGGAGTGTGGGTCGTCCGACGTCGAGGACTTCGATGTCGAGTCCGGGCCGAGGGAGCGGCAGGACGACGACGTCGCCGTCGAGACGGAGGTTGAGCTCGACGACGACGACGACGACGAGGACGAGCTATCCAGCCTCGAGTTGGAGTACGAGGACTGGATCAACGTCGACTCGTCGGAGTCGGAGCCGGAGCCGGAGCCGCCGCGCGACGTGGCGGTGGAGACGCCGGTGGCAGTGGAGGAGGAGGTGGCGGTGGAGGAGGAGGTGGCGGTGGAGACGCCGGTCGCGGTCGAGGAGCCGCCGCCGCCGCCGCCGCCGTCGGTGGTCGACATCGAGTGCGACGTCGTGTTCGAGCCGGCGTACCGGGAGCTGCCGGTGGAGACGCCGATCGAGGTGGTCGGCCCGCCTCACGCCGAGCCGGAGCCCCCCTCCGACGTCCCCGACCCGATCGACATCCTCTGCGTCGTCGAGGAGCCCAAGCCGCCGGCCACCGTGGACGAGCCCGAGCAGCCGAAGCCACCGGCCGCCGTAGAACCACCGGTGCAAGAACCACCAGCTGAAGAGACGCCGACGGCGACAGAGCCAGAGCCAGAGCCACCGGCGGCGGAGGAACCACCCGCCGCCGAGCCGGAGCAAGAGCCTCAACCGGAGACGCCGCCAGTAGAATCAGAGACGCCGGCGGAAGAACAGGCGCCGGTGCAAGAGCCACCGGCGGCGGACGAGACACCAGCCGCCGGCGAACCGGAGGAGCAGCCAAAACCACGGTCCAGTGACAGCGAGGATTACAGCACGTCGGGGGAAGAAGGAGACGGCGCGAACCGGGGCGGTGGCCGTCGCCGGCCCAGGGGGCAGGGGCCGCGGCGGCGGCGGCGCAGGAGGCGCGGCGGGTTCCCGCTGGGGATGGTGGTGGGGCCCGCGGTGATCCTGCTCGCGCTCGCCGCGGCGGCGGCCAGGAGGCGGCGGCAGCAGCGCGGGGCGGGCGGGCAGTGAAGTGACTGACGCCGGTGTTGCTCCGCTCGGTCGCCGGAGTTCGGCGACGCGAACATGACGTAATTGTGTGACGTGTTAGGCGTCTTTTGTGTGCTTTACGCGTTCGTTTCTTGGTGGCGTATTGTTGTGCTGTGTAAAACGGATTTTTCGTGTGATTGATAGTATTTCAGCCTGAGCAACACAAGTATATGCATGTGCCCCTATTGGGCTGTTCGGTGTACCTGGAGTCCTAGACTGCGGCCCTGCTTAGGGGAGATTAAGATTCCAAGAAACAGCTGGTGAGAATCTTTTGGTTTATAGTTTATTTTTCTGGATTAGCTTATCAGAATCTGGATCAAAAGCTGTACTGTTTATGGGAGGTTCTGATTCTGGTAGAAGCTATAGTAACTAGAAGCAGTGTTTACAGTGTGCATATCCGAGTGCTAGTGATATGAATATACTCAATATATTCACACTGCGTCTTTTATATACAGAGGAAGGGATGCATACTTGGTCTACACCAATATAGAAGTGAGTCCTGATACAAAATTACAAGCTAGAAAAAGGTTAAGAAATATAGTAAACTAGTGAAACGAAACACTGTAACCGACCTATTTAGAAACTTGAAAAAGTTAAGAAATACGGTAGCTAGTGAAATGAAACACTCTAGCCGACCTATTCAGAACAGAGGAAAGAGGAAGGAGGAGGTGGTCAGTGGACTTATGTATGTTTTTGGCTTAGAAATCATTTATATATTATGAATTAATAATACCATTTGGATCATTTTAGTTGAAAACTTACCCATTAAGAGTCTAACTAAAAGAAGAATTACAAGTCCGTATATTACATTGGTTATATTATAAAGCTGGGTTTTTTCCTTGAACAAATAAAACAAACATTGTGGTTTTCACTCGCTTTAGTTATAAAGGCCACTCTAGCTTATTAACGTTTTTTGATGAGACAAATTTGTAGTTTAAATAGACTTTTGACATTTCTTGGAAAAAAGATTTTTGACTTTTATATTGGAGCTAAAATTGTATGAAACTCCCAAGAACAATCAAAGAGCTCAAGCCAAATAAACTAAGAAAAAAAAAGATATTCAATTAGCTTTGACATCATGGACGGCTATATTATCCATCCATTATATGATGTCAGCAATTACCAAGCCAAACAAATAGTAGTTTATATTATCTAATTAAATTATTAGAAAAAGAGAGATCAATAAATTTCGTGGACAACAAAGAGATCAATAGCAATAGATATGAGTATAACATTGCTATTTGCCATGTCACCCGTTGATAGCACGTTCACTGTAAATTTATCGTGCGCATATAACCACACCCCTCAGCCCTCTCTCTCGTCTCGTCAGTTCGTCTTCCTCCCCTCAAGCCTCAACCCCTTCCCCTACCAGGCGCGGCTGCCGGCGATTGCTTGATCCCTCCGCCTCCCTGCCTCGCCGCCGCGCGCCACCTCGCCGTCGAATCGAAGGTACGGTACTCTCCTCTCCTCCCCCATCCTTCCCCTTCCTCGTGCTGCCGACCTCGCCGTGGAGTTGAGATCCATCTCGAGCCGGGGACTGCTGCCGATTGCTCTTGACTTTGCTGCTCGGATTGCGAGGATTTTTTTTCGGGGGGGTTTGATTTGATATCGGGGAATCGAATCCAAGCCTCCATCTCCGTATAGCGGCAAGCGTAACTGGCACTGCGCCCTAGTCGATCTCCCCCTTTGCGACGAGTTCGGCCCCTCCGCCTGCGCCCACCAACTCCGATCTCGTCCGGCGAGCAGCGTCGCCGGCGTCCGTTCGTCTGTCGCATCCTCGCCGGTGGGACGACACGTCCTCTTTACTCGTCCACTACCCGCATCCTTTTTCTCGTAGACTTAATCCTAGCTTCTTTTTTGGATCCGGAGGCTTTTCTCTTTGCCTTATTAACCTTAGTAGTACTACTAGCTGCAGGTTAGGTTTGTTTCCAAAAAAAGTTTGGCTGAACCCCCATGCCCCACGTTAGGTTCGGCCCTGATTGGGGGTACCTTGTGTAAAATGATGGCAGGATTATTTCTACCTTAATATTTTGAATTTTATCAGCATGTGAACTATACAGGCTGAATTTTTCAATAGCTGAATATTTGCAGCTTGGCTTGATATATATTCATCTATAGTAAAATTGAAGTTCTATGCCACTGATTTGTAGGCTATAAGCTGCTCCGGTTTTAGATAAATTAGGCATCTTTCAATGCATCGTGTTGGAAGTGCTGGTAACACGGCAGGTTCAAGTCGACCGAGAAAGGAGAAGCGCTTTACATATGTGCTGAATGACGCTGATAACAAAAAGGTCAGTTCCACTTCCAGAACTAGCTATCCTCAGAATCGCGGATGCATCCAGTTGATTCAAAAGAATTCATTTTCAGTGCAAATGTCTCATCATGCATTCCATTGTGTCTATTTTTCAGCATTGTGCTGGGATCAACTGCTTGTCATACCTAAATGCCTCTACTTCTGGTACGAGTGATTATCTTTTTACCGGGAGTCGGGATGGTACCTTGAAGAGGTGGGAACCAAAAAATGGAGTCGCAAGCTTCTCAGCAACTTTTGAGTCACATGTTGATTGGGTATGCGTTTCTCTGTTTTTACTCCAGTCGATTTAATATTGTTATTTGACCATTACGTTTTGAAATTTTACTAGCCCAAAGTTACATGATGACGCATACCATAGCAACATTTATCCATTATCGTGTTTTTTGATGATCCATTGCCACTTTTATTTGAATAAAGATGTATAAGCATCTTGCCCCAAAACAAAAGAGGATCAGATGGAAAGAAGACTACATAGTTTTCAATATCCAAGTATTATAGTTTCGGATGGAATTCTATCATTGATGGAGAAACTCATCCTTGAGGAGATTTGAGCTTAATTTTGTAACATGGACGCTTTCATTATCTCTGAAGTACTTTCTATGATTTAAGCTGATATATTTATCATGCAGGTTAATGATGCCATTATTGTTGGCCAAAATCTTGTTTCCTGTTCCTCAGATACCACTCTAAAGGTCTGTTGTTTCAGCAGTTTTTATATATTCATTTTGGATCCACATGTTTTTTAATTCCTAATTGTTTCACAGGTGTGGAATTGTTTATCAGATGGTGCTTGTACCAGGACTCTCCGCCAGCATTCCGATTATGTGATTTGTCTTGCTGCATCTGAAAAAAATGTATATTATCCAGCACTATGCTTTTCTGTGGAACTACTCATTTTATCCCTTTTGTTTTACATGTTTTTTTTTATTCTCTGCAATGTAGAGCAATATTGTTGCCTCTGGTGGCCTTGGCGGTGAGGTCTTTATATGGGACCTTGATTCTTCTCTTGCTCCTGTGGCCAAATCTGTAGATGCAAAAGAGGATGAAGCTCCTAATGGAAACTCTGGGCCTGCTTTGACAACCTTGTGCAATGTAAATTCTAGCAGCAACCTTGCTTCCACCAATGGGCAATCACATGGGTACAGTCCAATCACTGCCAAAGGTCACAAAGATTCAGTTTATGCATTGGCCATGAGTGACACAGGAAACACACTTGTCTCTGGTGGTACTGAAAAGGTATTATGTTCTTCATCTTTGAGAATGAGTATGCAAGTTTCCTTGGGGTTAGGAGGCACCATAATGTGCGAATTTCTTTGGACTGCTTTTGAGAGACCTCTCCTGTGATATTTCCTTATATGTACCTGTTTAGTGTAGGTTGTTCGCGTTTGGGATCCCAGGACTGGTTCAAAGAAAATGAAATTGAGAGGGCACACTGACAATATCAGGGCTTTACTTCTTGATCCTACTGGCAGGTTTGTGTGAAATGTTCTTGTAGATTCATCTAGACAATGATGTTTCTTTTCCTTGACAATATCCCTTAAAATTGACTTCTGTTCCCGTATTGCTGCCCCACTTCAATACTGTCATCTAAATCTATCCTAGCCTCTTATTCCACGATAATAAGTTATGGGTGTTCTTTCTTTCAATCTCCTGCAGTTACTTGTGCTCTGCATTTGTTTTTAGTATCTGTAATTCTAAATCTGTCATAATTCTGAGATATCCAAATGTTCTTCGGAGCATGAACTGTAGTTTAGACAGCCGCTGTCTATATTATCGTTCTACGTCATAATAGATTATATGTAGACAACTTCTACAATAGGTTGTCTACTTAGTAGTTATCTGTAATAGATTTGCATAATTAATGATTTGACTCTATAGATGGTATACATAGCGATTGTATTTTATTAAGCTATCCTCTCTGCTAATCAAGATACAACATCCTTCTCTCTCCGCTTTCTTTCTCTTCCACACCATCCTATGTAGCATCTTCTCCCAGACTGACATCACACCATTGTTCATGCCCAAATTGATGGCTTTCGCATTGGTAGTTGGATATGGTATTACTTCGCTCGCTAAATTTAGTGTTTGTCAAGTATTTTGGTCTTCTATCGCATTCATCATCCATGAAAGAGCTCTAGGTCAGCAGTGCTATTTTTTTTTGAAACTCAGAATTAGTTCAGCACACAATATTGTTGATATATTATGGGAAAATAGCACTACAAGTGTATGATCAAGACCCTAAAGTCCAACTCCAGTTTTGTTGATTTGAAGTCCCCAACTATTCAAATCTGTGCAATCAAGTTCTTTAAGCTCTATTCTGTTGGTTTGAGCTCTCAACTATTCTGTTTGTTCATTTTAGCTCTTTGTTATCTGGATATATTTAGTTAGTACCCTTTTCTCACATGATTAACAGACTGGTGATGTAACTACAGATATGTGTCAACATGGGCAACCTGAATAGGGACACAGTCACAAACTATTACTGAAACTGTCTAGCGTGCTTCCCGATTTGATTTAGATTATTGTGGATTATTGCCACAGATTATCTACCAGGTTATAGTGATAAATTAAATATTTGAAGAAATAAACTTAATAAATAGCTTAAAATAAGTGGTCGAAGCAACACAGTAGCAGAAACTTTTTTTCTAGAAAAAAAAGTATTTTTCGAAGCATAGAACAAACAATATGTTTCAGCAATCCGGTGAATAAGCTGAAAAGAACAGGACCTTAGAGATCAATTTTCTGCAACTCATGTTCAACAATTTGCTGTTGGGCTTTTGTGTAGATAACTTGAATAAGGCTACACAATTGTTTAGTTATCGAACTTCAGTTGCTCATCTTGCTTGTAGATTAGTAGGAATGATATAGTTTACAGTTTTAGTAGTAAAGGTGCACAGTGGGATTCAAATTAACAGGCCTAAACCTGAATGGTTTAATTACATCAAATTCAATATTTCAGGGGTTCAAATCAATAATTGGAATTTTGGGTTTGATTGCACAGAGTATTAGTTTTAGGGCTTATATTGAAGATTTTCGTTGTATTGTATACAATCCATTGAGTGCTAAGGAGTGATTGTCATGGTGTTAGATCTTCTGGAATGTGAAATATATTCCTGATATAGTTGCATCTGCATGCTTCTTAAAAGTACTTTTTTTGACCATCAGATTTTACCCCTTA